CGCAGCCGCCGCCGCCGCCGCCGGGCCCTGGGGCTGGCCCGGGAGGGAGTGGCGCGGGCGGCGCGGCCGGGGACCCGCAGCTCGTGGCCATGATCGTGAACCACCTCAAGAGCCAGGGGCTCTTCGACCAGTTCCGCAGGGACTGCCTGGCCGACGTGGACACCAAGGTGCTGGCGCGGCAGAGCCGCGTGGGGGGGGGGGGGGGTGGGGGTGGGGTCCCGGGTCGCCCTGGGTGCCGCGCGCGGGCCACCCTTGCTGCTGCTCCGGTAGCGGTGGCATTGCACGTGCACGGCGTGCAGTGTCCATTCATTCCCTGCTGCTTGCGGTGCTCACTGAGCAACTACTGCGTGCAGGTTGGCCTCGACAGTTGTACCCGGTGGAGCGCGGGACCCAGCCCTTGCTCTCAGGGAGGCTGGCTTGGAAGCACTGAGGCTAACGCGGCTCAGTGTTGCGTTCGCTCCTCTCTCGTGATGTGTCCCCTCGGTTTACTTTGTGCCCAAGTTCTTTTTCGCCTTCTTAAAGTTTCTTCAGCTGTGAACGCGGTGATCTTGTTTGCAGAACTCGTAACGTGGTCTTTGGATTGGTTGTTTGCAAGGTGTTTCGCGGGATAGTAGGGAGGCGAACATGCGGAGGTAGGGAGCGAACCTGCAGTCCCACGGTGGGTTTGGGGATAGGGCTTTCGTGTGACTTCTGGCGGTGATTGCCTGATTAATAACGAGGTCAAGTCCTTTTTCTAAGGTGGGGAAAACGTAAAGAAATGACACAAGAGCTGAAGTGAAAGAGGGGCAGGCGCGGAGTGAGTGCTAGAGAGGAAGGAAGATGGCAAGGGCCACCCCGAAGGTTCCCCGGGCAGAGTTAGAGGCCCAGACGGGGAAGAAAGGGCGTTTTACTAAGTGCCTTAGAGAAACTGTCTTTAGCAGGAGCAGGCAGGCTAAGCCATTTTGTCACAGACTGAGCCAAGGACAGCGTCCGTGGGGTCGGTGCAAAGCCTGTGGAGTTCTGGAAGCCGATGAGGAAGAGGTGTTGGCACTTAGTTTGGGCCTTAGTTGCCTTCCTTTTCTGTTCTGTGTTTGCTGCTCTTTGGTTTTGTTTTTGCTTCAATGTGCATCACTCCACTGGATTGGAATTTTGATCGTGTGAGGGGTTTTTTTCAGACCTGGGCTGGTCTGAAAACCCTATTATCTTTGGAAAGGGTGTTTATGTACCAGCAAATTCTCCTCTAACTTTAAGGTGACCTGCACACAGTCCTGCCCTCTTCTCTACAAAAGTCCTCCTGAAAACCTGAGGATCTCCTCTGTGGGGCCTGCTGCTGAACCCACTCCCCTAGCCTTTTCAGGGTATTGGAGTTTCTTTGGGTGTGTGGAGGAAGTATGTATGTTACTTTGCTTAGGGAATATGCACAGCCATAGTTTTAAAAGTCATATCTGTTGCCTTTTGAAAATCGTTTTTAATGGAAAACATTACACATGATCAGGTAAATGTTATCCACATAAAGCTGGTTATTTACATCCAACAAATGAGTGTTACACTTTGATGTTCAGAGAAACCTATAAATCTGTATGTTATCCTTGTGTATGTATCTTAAACATTGTGATATACTGATGGGGGTGCTGCAGTATTTACAACTCAACTCTTTATTCATCCTATCCCCATTAAATGTTACTGTTGTTTGTCCTCCAAAACTTCTAAAAGTTTGTTAAAATTTGCTTCTTGGGAAACAAAGGAGAGAAGTTGGTATGACATTCTGTTGAAAGCTAGGCCCCTGTCTCAAAACAGTGCGTGTGCGTGTGCACATGAAAGTGCTGCTGTAATAGTTCAGAATGTTGAGTACATGCATTTGCACGTGCTTCAACCTTATGCATAGAGAGTCCGGGGATCACAGATTATGCTCGTCTGTTTTGGTGCTGGAGGCCCCACAAGAGCAGGGTTGAAGTGATGCCCTTCTCTCAGACAGCAGGGGACAGCTGGGTTTGCTGAAACTGCCCCATAACCCGTCAGTCTCTTCCCCTCCCCACCTTGACTTTTTTCTTTTCTCCCCTTCTCTTCCTCTCCCTTAGCTAGCAATTGTGTTAGTTTTAATTTGAAAGATTCTTAATTGAATCACATTTTATATTCTTTTTTCTATTGTGCAAAAAGAAAAAAAAAATAAGTTTGATAACCTGGAGGGAAAAATCCAGAAACTAAAGTGTTCTTCTTGGGAGCTTAACATTCATAACAATGTAACAAGCCGGCCAGAGTCTAAATAATGCTCCTATTCACACTAAGGACTATCACTTTAATGGGACCCGAGTCTCATCTGCCTCCTTCTGTATGGGACTCTATAACTGAACATGAAACATTGCCCTGTCTTCTAACAAACTGCCTTACCTGTAGTGTGTAGGGCTTTAACGGTAACTGGATTATGTAGTCACATATATATTTAAGAATCAAGACATTTTATAACTGCCACATGCTCTCCAAGAGCACAGCTGTCCAACCCAGTGTATCTAGACCAGAATAAGATGAACCAACATCTTCTGACACTCCTCAAACCATGAAATATCACCCTCTGAATAGTCCTGGGGTCTCTAATGAGGTGATTCTATGGCAGATCAATTCTGTCATTCCCCAAGGAACTGGTGCCTTGAGCAGCTCCAAGATCCAGCTACCACTAAGGCTTCTCCTTAAGACAGCCAGGCAACAGGTGTCTGAAACAAGCTCCATGATTTGAAAGTCATTCTGACCCCTTTGCATCCATTTCCAGCTGTAGAGGGAGGAAGGAGGCTCAAGCAGCCCATCATTGTCCTAGACAGGGAACTCATGGTAGAGCTCATGGACCAAGTAAATATGACTCCTCTTTCAACAAGTTGTAAAGGCCAGTAATTAGAGCCACTCTCAGTTATGACTGGCTCCTGGTCAGTTAGTTCATGCAGCACATAGGAATTCAACTGAGCAAACTTTATGTACCGGGCACTGTTTTAGGTGCCAGGGGTCCAGCAGTGAAAGAGAAGTCCTGCTGTTATGAGGCTCATATCCTAGCCGAGAAAGACAGCCAGTAATGTGTCATGGGCTCTATAGAAAACATTCATTGAGCAGGACAAGGATGAGGGGGCATTCTATTGTTCTTGGTAAGGCTTCAGTTTAGATGATGTGTGAGTAACCCTGAAGGAGCTGAGGGAGTGGATGCTTCCAGGTCTAGAGCAGGAGGGTGGGGAGCAAGAACTACTGAGAGGGAAGTGCCCCTCCCTCTCCTGGACATCAACCTAACGATTTGGGGTTTTCTAGTACTGAGAGTCATTCTCCAGTTTTGAGCAGAAAGGTCATGATCTGGCTTGTGTTTCAATCAGCTGATTGTTCATGATCTACTTTGGACAAAAAATTTTTTGATTACCCTGATTTTAGAAAATTTAATCTAATGTAATCTCTTGGAAAATGGACTCCAGAAAGACGAGGGCAGACAGGAGGCTCAGTCCGTGTAACCTGTCCGGAGGCAGCTCCTAGACTGTAGGGTGAGAAGGAGAAGGCCTGGTTCTGGACCTCTGGTGCTTCTGTCACCTACAGAATTTGCTGGTCAGAAGGAGAAATTACTGATTTCAATTTAAGACAGAGTTTGCCATGTAGCCCCGCAGGCTTTGAAATTGCCATCCTCTTGCCTCAGCTTTGCAAGTGCCAAGATTATGGACATGTACCATCATGCCCTGCAAATGAGAGGAGAACTTAGAAACAAGAAAATTTTTCCTTTCAGGAAGTTGAAATTTGAACTTATGTGGGGAGACTAGAAAGCTAAATGCATGTGATATTTAAGTCTAATAAAAGTTTGTTAGGATGAGGAAATCAGCATTAGGAACATTGGGGAGAAAGAAATCGGTTGGGTTTGAATTGGTTTATTAGTAGAGAGGAACTTGAAAAATAATTGGGCAGCTTTCCTGTAGAATAAAAATAGGCATCGGCAAAAGTCCAAAAATTGGAAGTGATGAAAGAGCATCTCATAGGAAGAGAACCTTAACTCTGTGTGGAGGAAGTTACCCAGTCATCCAGAACAGCATGCTAACTGCTTACCAGCCAAGCCTGGTGGCTGGCTTTGTGGAAATGAAAACGGAGGGAGAAGAGCAGGCTTACAGGTCAAGAGAGGGAGAACTCTGCCCCTTCTGCAAAACGCACTGCCCTGCTTTGATGGCAGAATGTGTGGAAAAGGGCGGAGACCTGGAAGAAGGGCCACAGTAAACAAACTCTGGGTGTCAGAATAGCTCGATGCCTTAGGATGCGCTCTGAAGGGGAGAGGATTGTCTGCTGGACAAGTAAAGGGAATGGGAATAAATGAGAATTTATTGCCAGAATACACGCTTTGAAAGGAGGGGGACGAGTGGCATAAGGTGATGCTGTACTGTTTCTCTTAAAGTTATTCCAGGTCACTCACCTATATTGAAAAAAGGAAAAACAAAACAAAGCAGATAAAGGGAAGATAGCCTTGAATGAGTGTGTGAGGAGGCTAGCCTGGATACAGAGTAAGGACCATTCCTTCAAACAACATCCTTTGAGATACAGATGACATGGACTCCTCCTCACCCTCCTTCTCTTTTTGGGTCAAGGGTTCTGAGTCTGACCTTCTGGTCTGGTTGGATCTTGTGACGTTTCCCCTGAGCTGTGTGCAATGTTCACCGCCACCCCCACCCCACCCCCCCAGCTCCTGGATGCCTCTAGCAGTCTCAGCGGTCTAGTAACCTAAAGAGTTTTGGGCATTGCCAAATGCCCCCTTGGGGGAAATGAGAGTTTCAAATGACTTGTGCTTGGTCAGATTCAGTGTGCAGTTCAAATGGTCTGTCCCTGAATACTTTCAGTCCATAACGTTCACCTCATTTCTCACCAATAGAGACCTTCATCATTCTCGTTGTGAATTTTGCCAAGTGTGCTTTTGTGTCTGATCTGTGATCAGATCTCTGTGCTCTTGTAGAATGAACTTCCACCCTCATGCCTCCCTCAGAAGGCACCCAGAGCAAGCACCTAGCCCCAGCCTGGTTCAGCTTCGTTTCTGCTGCAGTCTCTTCTCCAACCAGACTAGACTGGAGTTCTAGGGGTCCACAGCATAGACCAGACTGGAATCCTAGGGGTCCACAGCACAGACCAGACTAGAGTCCTAGGGGTCCACAGTGCAGACCAGACAGGAATCCTAGGGGTCCACAGCCCAGGGTCCACAGCACTTCTTGCCTTGCTTTTTCTCATCTTTGCTTCTGTTGTTGGCTGTTGGCAACAAACATTCTCATCCAATACATTGTGTAACTTTGGAGCTGATTTTCTAGCTCAGATGCCTGTTCTCAGGGAAGGCTTATTTCCTAGACTTGGCTTCCTTTGTTTCAGATTATCTAGCATTAACATTTGTGTCTTATTTTCTAGTCCATTGTCTACAAATAACAGACATGTCTTCTTTATCTTGCTCAATTTCCACATATCTTGTCTTAGACAAAATAGGCAGTATGTGAAAATATTATAACTGTGAAGCTGTTGCCACATTAGTTAGCACTTTAAGAAATCTTAAGGCTATTAAAGATACTCAAATTGATAGAATATTGTGTGAACTGGAGATTTACAGCATTTATGTATTTTCTTCTTTCTAGCCTGCCTATCAAAACCTGAGACAGCGTGTTGACAGCTTCGTTGCAAACCACTTGGCAAGTCATACTTGGAGTCCGCACCTCAACAAGAACCAGCTGAGAAACAATATTCGGCAGCAAGTTCTCAAGTAAGTGTCAGGGCTCCTGGGCAAGCCTTCAAATGCTGCTACCCACCTTGTCGGAAAGCAGACTCGTCGTGCAGAAACGGGCTCACCTCCTGCCGTCTGTGGTTTGTCAGGTTTGATGTTTCTGGTCCACATGATGAAGTATAATTTTGCAGAATGGCCTAATCACTTCACATTTCTCCCATAAATTTTAACTCTCTTTCTCTATAGAAGGAAATAAATGTATAACTAATCTGTATATAATAGTAATATGATTATAATATTAATACATACTGTAATATTCTAGACAATTATATGCACAGCTAGTCTCTTATTTAACAAATGAGAATTACAGAGCCCTGAAAAAAAAAAATTCCCTTAATTTTAGGTGCTAGATCTTCTAATTATTCCCCCCGAACTGTTTTCATTTTATTGATGATATGTGGCAAAAAGAAAGCGTGTTTCATCTGTTGCAGTTATTTTTGAGTGGCTATAAGCAAAAGAGAGTAAGAGCTGCGATATTTAGAAAGACCTGGGGTATTTACTTCAAAAAAAGGACAAACTTGATTTATAATCTTGCACTTGTTTTTTAATATAAATATTTGCCAAGACAAAAAGACTTTGTATTCCAGTTATTTAAGGAGTGCCTCTCTTTTCCTGCCTGGAAAAATATTTATATTCAAGCACATTTATAAAACCTAGCTTTAAACAGGTGAGCTGCTAACTCAGGCCTATCTGGTGTGATAGTTCCAGGCCACAGGAAGCTCCAGAAATAAAAATTCACTAAAAGACCCATTTAGCCCCAGGTAATACTAGAAACCTGGATCCTGGGAGCTTGAATTGTGTGTGTTTCTGTGAACAAGAAAAGGGGAAATTGACACTAGCTTTGTTGTATACATTTTAAAAGATGCTTGAGGTGCCTGTAAAAGAGCCCAAATGAGATCAAAAGATGCCATTGCTGTTTCCGGAAAAGAAGATACTCAAGTCTATTGAGTAACAGGCCAGCGGTTACTCGATTTCACAAAAGCCTTCAGCAGAACGGTAAGGAGAGGGAATGGGCGCTGGGGGGCGACCTGACTGACTTTGCCCCTCACATCTGTACAGGACTGCACTGCTCACCAGAGCTTTCCTCAACACTTGTCTTGTCGCTGCCCCTTCTCACAGCAGCAGCGCTTCTTTCAGACCCTATTTTGAAGGGCACTGCATTCTTTGGGGGAGTGGAGTTGATCTTGGCCTCATACAGGCTAGTTCACCCCACCACTGAGCCCCACAGTGACAGGATCTTACATTATTTTTTAATCCCATGTTGAGAGTCTCAAATAGGAGACAGGCTTTCTGGAGTTTCATTTACACGTTAGGAGAATCTATAAGATAAGCAAGCTGTTGTTTATTCACTTTTTAGGAAAGGGAAAAGTGAAAGTGAAGCACTGAAAATTCTAGCGCAGATAAAGGACGTTGTTAGCACATTTTCACGTCTGGTGAAAGGTAAGGGATTCTGTGACTATGGCAATGGCCAGGCGCTAGAGCAGTCTTTGTGAATAACTGGCCATCCCTTCCTGTGGAGACTTTCAGAAGAGCAGCTGGTCTCCTGGGTGACTTAGGTGCTACTCTTAATGAATTTTCTTCTGGCTATATTATTTCTTTTTTAATTAGTTTCTTTTAAATTCCACTTGAAAAGATTTTTTTATGATTATTTATTATTATTGTGTGTGTGTGTCAGTGTGGGTGCTGGATTGAGAGTAAGGTCAGAGGACAGCCTTCGGTATTTACTTCTTGTTTTCCACCCTGGGATCTGGGGATCAAACACACATTATTAGGCTTTTACAGCAAGTGATTTTACCCACTGAGCCATCTTACCGGCCCCATTTGCAAAGTTTTGTGTTACTGATAATAACATAATAAATTTCCTTAAGGAAAGATGATTTAGTAGTGGGCAAACACACTGTATGGATGGACTGGCCCTGTACATACGTATACCCTCAAGCAGATTTCATACATGTACTTGGCAAAGTATTCTGCTGACTGAGTGAGGCTAAGCCATTTGCAGTTGCCATTTTTGTAGGACAGAAGTTGCCTACTATCAGCAATTTCAGAGGGTTTAACCTAATAGCTAACCTCTTGACTCAGTAGGAGGGAACTCATTTTACCTTGGTATCCGTTTATACCACAGAATCTAAAATCCTGTATGGCTTTCAATAATAATCTTAACAGAATTTGGAAAGAAGGTGCGGAAGTAACTTTTGCTCAGGACTAGGGATTGAACCCACGTCTTCATGCAAAGCAAATACTCTACCAAGTGTCTGTTGTTGCTGTTGTTGTTTGGTTTTTTTGAAAATACGGCCTCCCTATATAGCTCTGGGTAGTCTGGTCCTCCCTATGTGGCCGACGCTAGCCTTGAACTGGACTGCTGGAATTACAGGCATTTGCCACCATGCCTGGCTTCAGCTCTTTTTTTTTTTTAAAGTTTTTATTTTGAGACAGAGTCTCCAGAGTTGCCCAGGCTGGCCTTGAACTCTCATCCTGATTTTGTTGTGTTGCTTAGGCATGCTTTGAATTTATGATCTGCCTGCCTCAGCCCCCACAAGTAGCTGGGATTATGGAGACAGGCACCACCAGGCCTGGCAAGGAAGTAACTTTAACCAGGAATGTATCTATTGCAAACATTGTTGGCTTACGCTTGGATAGGGCTGAGACTTCCTTTCTGGGAGGCCACTGTGAAATAGTCCATGACAGGGAGCCCTCTAAGGGTGGTCATTGGCCCCAGACCCCATTTTTACATAGTATCAGAGCAGTCCTCCAGGGAAAAGAAGTTGATATTACAGTGTTATTGTTTTTAGGTCGAATGGGTTTTATTCTTTTATGTCTTTGTATTTGTATCTTAAATCAGAACTTTTTCAGGGCCTTGTTTGTTTTTTGGTCTTTTTGAGACAGGATCTCCCTGTGACCCCAGCTGGCCTGGAACTCGCTATATAGACCAGGCTGGCCTTGAATCACAGAGATCTGCCTGCCTCAGCCTGTCAAGTGCTGGAATTAAAGGCGTGTGCCACCATGCCCTTTAAATCAGAACTTTTTAATTATTCTTTCTGCTACATTTTCACAGCATCTTTTAAGGGACAAAAAGACACCTTTGAGGTACAACAGGATTTGCATTCTTTTCTTTAATCTTGGACCATTGAAAAGCAGGTAACCTACTTCGTTGCATGTTGACTCATTTTTCTCTATAGCCCACATAAATAGAATTGTAATATCACAAGGTGACAAAGAGCCTCAAGAAATGAAAATCTAATCCATCTTCCACTTCAGACAGAGTTGCAGTCAGAAATAGCATTTTATGTAAGGTTAGACACCTTGCTGATTCTGCGCCAGAAGACTGGGGCCAAGAAGCTGGAAATGACTGATGCCTCGGCCCCCAGCACTGGCCAGTCCTTTGACTCCTGCAGTGCATTTTTAGAAGTGCGTTCTTCAGGCGTCATTGTATAGAAATGCTTCCTAAATGTTCTTTTCACTCTCTGTCAGCCCTCTCTGGTGTTTCTGTAACATGGACACCTTTCCTCCCTTCTTTTCTACAGAAGTCAAGACTCAGCTCAAATGTCTCCCTGTGCATAGTACTCCCAGCTTGTCTTGGATGTAGCTCACAATTCCCTGCTCTTCCTCACAGAGCATGGTGTGTGCTGGTGCCTATCTTGTGTTTGAATTGTTTGTGGGACTAGGTCTGCCTGGTGGCCATCACAGTGACTTTTATGCAGAAGACACTTACAGCATAGTTCTTGAGTGACTAAATCATCCTGTTTTATAGCAGGAAGACAGTAAAAAAAGAGCCAGACATCTTATGTTTTATTTTTGTTTTCCTGAAGTTTGCTTTGTTTCTTTCTTCTTAATTTGATGGAATTATACTTTGTATATATTCTTAACTTTTCCTGGAAGCTCTAATACTTATAGAAGGCTTATGTTTATCTATTTTTGGAAAAGAGCCTTCTGAAAGAAAGTTTCAGTCTAGAGATTAGCTGTAGACTCAAAGCTCACCAGTAATGAGAGCTTTGAGTAATGAGAGTGAGAAAAGCTTCACATGTGCAGCTGGGTCGCACCGTGCCCACTTCTTAAGCTATTTCATCATGGTTTGGTTTTGTGCATTAGTGGACATTTTACAGGTGTCTTAGTAATAGCAAATGCCTGAACACCACTAGTGCGCCAAACTCCCCATTGTCCAGACTTCAGTGCAGAACCAGGTGAAGAAACCGCTGACGGTTGGACATTTGTAATAAAGTTATCATTCACCTTTCTGTAACTTACCCATGTTTCAGATCAGGAATGCTGGAGTCTGGTATCGACCGAATTATTTCTCAGGTTGTGGATCCAAAGATCAACCACACATTCAGACCTCAGGTGGAAAAGGCTGTGCATGAGTTTCTGGCCACCCTGAACCACAGGGAGGAAGCAGGTGGCAACACCACGCCTGATGATGAAAAGCCGGAAGCTTTTGTTGTGACGCAAGGTGCTTGCTTCTCTCCAGTGCAGTTCGAGCTCTTCTTGACCTTCTCATCAAGTCAGGAATATTTGATTCTGTTACCATTTCTCCATTTGGCTACTCTAGTGAAACTGTATTTACTTAAATATTGCCCAGATTTCTCAACTAGTGTGGTATTTCTTCTTTTGAAATTAATTTTCTAAATAGCATTTTAATCACAGTGAGTGTGTGTGTGTCTGTGTGTATGTGTCTGTGTGTGTGTGTGTGTTCTGTAACATAGGAAGTTAAAATGAGTCAAGACATTCTCACACAGCCTGGCAGTTTTTAGGCTTGCTGGTGCCCATTCTAAGAGGCTGCGTGCTCTCAGGAGCTAGTAAACTGAGTGTGGCAGCCGCCACCACCATCTGAAAGCCCAGGTGCACACATGTCTTCATGACCCGTGTCACCTGAGGGTAACAGCGGCAGGTAGTGTTGATGAAGTAGGAGGGTTTATTTTCTGAATACATTTCCTAAGTTTTGTCCTCTCCTCGAAGGTGTTCCTGCTCCTGGGCCCGGTACTAATGTGGCCAATGACGCCATGTCAATCTTGGAAACCATAACTTCTCTTAACCAGGAAGCTCATGCTGCCAGGGCGTCAACCGAAACGTCGAGCACCAAGACCAGTGAGAGAGTGTCCAGGAAACTCTCATCTCAGCCCAGCACTGACACCACCCCTGACAGAGAAAGGAGCTCAGAGGACGGGGCGGACAAAGAAAAGGCAGCCCCTGATTCCGGAGGGGAAGGGCTAGAAGGTGCCCTGAAGTCTGAAGAGCCTAGTGAGCTCCCCTGTGCAGGAGAAGAAGCTAAAAATCAGACGAAAGAGAGTAATGTCATTCCGCTGAGTAAGGACGCTCAGCAGGAAAGCAGTGACCCAAAGAGTAAGCCCGCAGATAGAGCAGAAAGGAAGCCAGATGGCGGTGACAAAGGGGAGCGGAAGAAAGAAAGGAAGGAGAAGTCTGAAAAGAAGGCTGACCACTCGAAAAGGAGCGAGGACGCACAGAAGGCTAAAGAGGAAAGGCAGGCAAAGGACAAAGAAGTTGAGAGCACGAAACTTCCCTCGGAAAAGAGCAGCAGCAAAGCTAAGGCCGCGGAGGGGACAAAGGAAGGTGCGTGGAGCGCGGGGAAGTCTGTGGTGCCCGCGGAGCCCAGGGCCTGTTTGGCTTTAAGTTTTCATAACATTTTTTTGGTGTTCCTATGTCAAAACTCTGAAAACGTGATTCCTTTTGCTGGGCATCGTGGCATGCTCCTGTAGTCCCAGTGCTGGGCAGGCTGAGTGTGCAAGACCCAAGCTAACCTGGGCTAACTAGCCAGACCCTGTTTGGGCTGGGGGTGGAGGGCATTAGACATTTTTATATTTCCTTCCTATACTTTTGTATCTATCACAAAGATAAACAGAGAAACTATAAACGTTATACTTTGCTCATACTGTTCCGAACAACATAAGTTGTATATCCTGATCTTTAAAATATTGGGTAATAAGTACGTCAGTTTCTTAAAATTTACATTTGTGTATATCGTTTACATTGTAGATTAGTCATTTGGTTTTTACAGGTTACTAGTTTGCCTTTGGATCTTTTGAAAATATGTCTGCCTTATTTGATAGCTAATTTCTTTGGTGTGTATTTAAAGGAAGAATTTTTAAATAAAATTTAGGAATTAGGCTTTTGAATATGTTCTTTTTATTTATTAGCAAAGTTATTAATTTTGCTTCATTTTCTTCTTGAAGATTGCTCTTTGATGGATTCTGATGTGGATGGTCTTACAGACATCACAGTTAGCTCTGTCCACACCAGTGACCTTTCATCTTTTGAAGAAGACACTGAGGAGGAAGTTGTAATGTCAGATAGCATGGAAGAAGGAGAGATTACATCAGATGGTAAAACGCCTTTCCTGATGCCTCTGTGAAGTTTCTGTTGAGCATTCTTTGTGTATTCTGATGGCTACATCCTGACAGAGTATGGTACACTGGCCAGAGCCTGGCACTTTGTGGTTGCAAGATTTATTTCTGAGACTAAACTCTAGGGTTCTCTATCTAAACAACTTTATGAGTTCCTAGCCCTCAACAAACCTTGGGTCTCCATCAATAATTCTGTCCTCTGAGACTATCACAAGACTTAGACGAAACATGTCACAAAGATACTTTTTGTTTATGTGTGAATGATACTTGGGGAAGAGCAGGCTAGAGGACTGCCCTCACTTCTGGCACCAGTTGGAAATTCAGGGGTCCCAACGACCATCCTATGGTATGATGATTTCCTAAAAGGCTCATCGGGCATGGTGGTTCGTGCTTATGATCCCAGCACCTGAATGACTGAGGCAGGAAAGTAATGGCAAGCTCCAGGCTAGCCTGGGCTACGTAGTGAGTTCTAGGCTGTCCTAGGCTAGAATGATACTCTGTCTCAAATAACAAGTGGTGGTACACTCACAGTTATGGTTTATCCCAGCTAAAGGACACAGAGTAAAATTAGACTAAGGTTGAATCCAGGAAAGTTCCAAACAGTATCCTCTGAGTATCCTTTCCTGTGGAATTGTGAACAACTTTATTGCCTTGACAGCCATGTCTGTGATACAAGTAACTGCCAACCAGCAGAGTTCACCGGAGTGTTGGTCTGAGGTTCTTGCCTACGCTGTGAGCTATAGTCACCATTGCCCGCCTCTGTGTCTAACCTCTGTCTTCAGCCCCTCAGGAGGTTTTGCTATGGGACTCAAAGCCCTGGCCCTAAATCACGTTAGACTATTTGGTTTGACCTCGAGACCATCAGGCAACCAGAAGTCCTCCGATCAGGCACAGCATCCTGAAGATCTAGTGATGACTCTCGGAAGCCAAGGGCAAATGTCAAACCTCTCTGAGACAAAACCGAAACCTATTCTGCAGGTGTTTTTTTTTTCGTCTACCCCTTCCCAAGCATTCCAGAGTCTGTGCTAATGCCCTTCTGTGTGGTAACTGCTGTAGCCTGCACTGCAGTCCTGGAAAGTTGGTACAAGTGAGGAAAGAAGGTCACAGTATGTGATCCAAAGTCACATAGCCCACAAGCACCACCGCAGAGTTCAAGCCTGAGTCTGTGCTTCCAGCCAGTGCCTTGTGCTATTCTTTGTCCTGTGGCATGTTGAAGTTTTACTCCCATTGCCTGTGGGTAGCATCTTTTAAATATTCTGCTGGCTTTGAGTTAGATACCTAGAGGAAAACTCAGGAGAAAAAGTAGAACTTCTAACAGCACAAACACTTTACTTAGCTTTTCCTCTCTTTATGTTTCTATCAAGGAAAAGACAAGTTATATGGTCCGCCCCTGCTCTGTGGACCCTCACTGTTACCTGTGGGAAGAGCGGTCCTTATCCGTGACCCTCTGCTGTCTCTGCTCTGCTTTGGGGTCTTTCGAAATGTTTTCTTGGATGGGGCTAGATTTTATGTGTGTGGGCTCTGAAAAGTAAGAAGCTAAATGCTTTAAAAGCAGTAACAGGAATTGAGAACAGTGCTTTTTCTTTTGCCCCTTCCTTTCTTGCTATATCAAATGGAAACAGATCACCTTCCTAACTAGAGGGTTTTAGTGGAAGGTATAGAAACTGGCTGATTCCTGCCCTTTCCTGAACTCAGGAGACATTAAAATCTCAAGTGTCCTTTAAAGTGCAGCTTCAAATGAATTTGCTTAGCTTAGCAATGGTAAAGCATTCTTAGCAAGTCCAGTGACAAATAAGAATTAACTGTCACAAGTAGTTTAACCATAGACTGAGGCAGCTCCAGCTTAGGCTCATAGGTTTAACAAACCAAAAACAAACAGTAAAAGGAAACTTGAGCTTGGCCCATCAGAAACCGTCAACTTGCCTCTACCTGGGGCCTTCCCATCAGATCAGACTCAAGTAAAGGCCTAGCAGTAGTCAGTCTGATAGTGTTTGCTCAGCCTCTGTGCAGAGCCCATGGAAGCACACAGCTGAAGCTGCCGGCCAGAGGCCCTGAGCCTCTTCTGGCTCCGGGTGGGCCCTGTGTTCTTCATGCATCAACTCTGTTTCATTTAATGTGTCTGAAGGTTTTTGAGACAGGGTCTCCCTGTAGCCTTAGCTGCCCTGGAACTCACTATGTAGACCAGGTTGGCCTCGATCTCACAGAGACCCTTCTGCCTCTGTTTCCTAAGTGCTGAGATCAAAGGTGTGCACCACCATGCTCAGCTTTGAATTTATTTTTCTTTTAACAACACAAATGCTTATAGTATCTAATTTTTCTTTTACTGCCTTTATGTGTGAAGTGATTGCTAAGAATTAATGCATGAATTATAGTTTTTTAAAATGCCAATTTCTAGCCAGGTATGATGGTGCATGCTTTCAATCCCCGCACTCGGGAGGCAGAGGCAGGCAGATTCTCTGAAAGATTGAGTCCAACCTGGTCTACATAGCAAGTTCCAGGCAAACTGGGACTACAGGGAGATCCTGTCTCAAAAAAACAAATAAAAAAGTCAGTTTCTGAATTTTCACATGTAGATATTTCCCCCTTTGGAACTATAATACACATGAAGTTTATTGATAGTTCTTTTTTAGCTGCTTATACAGCATAATGTCGATGCTCTCCCTAGTTCACAGAAGCTCTTTCTGTTGACTTTTCCAGATGAAGAGAAGAGCAAGCAGAATAAAACAAAAAGTCAAACTAATGATTCTAGTGAAGGAAAAGCCAGAAGCGTACGGCATGCTTACGTCCACAAACCATATCTTTACTCAAAGTATTACAGTGACTCTGATGACGAGCTCACAGTAGAACAACGGCGGCAGTCCATTGTAAGTCCAGTTCGGCCTCTTACTGTTTTAGTCTACTGCACCAGACTGACAGATTTGAGGGCTCTGCAGGCAGGGGGCAGGTAAACAAAACAGATATGCACTTTGCCTTCAAGAAGCTTGTCACTTAAGTATATAGAATAGATGTGCAACAAATATATGTGTATCACTGTTACATGAAAAATGTAGCAATCTGGATGTTTGTTGGAATGGAAGTGTTCATGCCAAAACAGACAAGTCATACAGATATGTAGTATGTTCTCATTATAATACTGAGGGAAATGCACTGTTTTTTAAATTTTTTTTTTATGTGTATGAGTGTTACACCTGCATGAATGTAAGTGCACGGGTGTCATGCAGCACCGTGAAGGTCAGAAGAGGGCGTTGGACCCCCCGGAACTGGAGTTACGGATGGTTGTTAGCTTCCATGTGGGTGCTGGGAACCAAACCTGGGTCCTCTGCAAGAGCAGCCAGTGCTCTTAACTGCTGAGCCATCTCTCCAACCCCCAGTAATATCTTTTTAAACAAATTCATACATTATTGAGTTTACACATCTGTTTTAGATGGCTTATAGTTTAAGAAACATTAAAATATGGAAAGTTGCTTATCTCCAGATAAGGAAGTGTGGAGATAAGAATTGGAGGAAGCCTGCCAGATCTGCTGGTGGCAGCCGTCCCTCCAGGCTTGTCTCTGGGAAAGGTTACTTGGACAGGAGCTGTGCTCTGCTTAGCACTTTTGAAACTTTGACATTGAGCTTTCACCAGAAAAGGGTGATGGGAATAACACAGTGACTGTGACTTCTCCCCGATTCAAATTATAACAGCAAAAATTCCCAAGTCCCAAACTTAGTCCTGGGAGTCTAACCACAAGTCAGATTGGCTGTAGAATTAGCCTGTCAGTTGGATCTGTACCACAACTTTTTCCTTCAGGAATAAGTTATGAAATCTAACCTATATAGGCTTGATATTCATATTTTCATACCTATTTTATTTTGCTGTTGAAGCAACTCGTTTACTGAATCACCTGTTCTCAAAATAATGCCTGTCCCAGTCTTCAGACCAATGGTGCGCCACAGGAATAGCTGAAAGTTTCCCATCTGACCCTCGTATTATTCTGGTAGCTTCCAGATTAGAACACACGTATGTACACAGAGTGGACGTGTACTTCTGCATAGCCCATTGATTTGTAAGAACATGTAAAGACCAAACTGAAGCTTCCTTGGCAGGAACAAGGGGTGCTTGGGGATTCGAGCCCAGGCTCACACCTGCCGAACCAGTTCTTTACCTGAACTGTTGCTCTCAGCCCTGAAGTTTTTTCATACTTTCTTTCAGAGTGCTTTTGCTTTTCCCTCATAATCTGTCAGGATATTTTATGGGTTTAGGCAAAAGAAAAAGAAGAGAGACTTTTAAGAAGACGAATTAATCGAGAGAAGCTTGAGGAAAAGCGGAAACAGAAAGCAGGAAAGACAAAGACTTCCAAGGCCAAGAGCCAAGGTATCACTGCTGCTGCCATCACTTGAGATTATCTTATGTGCTGTGTCCCTTTCTAATTTATTTTATGTCGCTTATGGCATATGCATATAAAATACAATGCTGTGTTCAGTGTGAAATAGCAGAATGAATTAGCACTAGACAGTGCATTCCTAGCATAATTGTTTCTGATGACAATGATGCAATTAACCTATACTTTTTTTTTTTTTTGGTCTTTTTGAGACAGGGTCTCCCTGTAGCCCCAGCTGCTCTGAAACTCACTATGTAGACCAGGCTGGCCTTGAACTCACAGAGATCCGCCTGCCTCTGCCTCCCGAGTGCTGGGACCACAGGCGTGCACCACCACGCCTGGCTTTAACCTATACTTTATGTTTGCTTTTTTCTTTTCTCTTTGCTCTTTCCTTTTCTTTTCTTTCCTCTTTTCTTTGATGCTGGGGATTAAACTGGCACATACTAAGCACATGCTGTGCCACAGAGCTGTACCTCCAGCCCCTTATGCTAACATTTATCTGACATAGTAAATAAAACAAAACTGAATTCTACTGTGTTTTTTCCAGCACAGATTAAGAGCTGTTCAGAACTGTTTTGTATTTTGTAATGATTATGCAGTCTTACTGGAAAGCAGATGCAGCACTGGTGCCTAAACTGTCTTCTGAAATACAGGTTACTAATTGCTTTTCTCCCAGGCAAAAGTAATGTTGACTTAGAAGATTCATCAACAAAGACTTTGGAACCCAAAGCCCCCAGGATTAAAGAAGTCCTAAAAGAACGGAAAGTTTTAGAGAAAAAAGTAGCTTTAAGCAAACGAAGAAAAAAGGATTCAAGGTACATTTTTTTATCTTTGTTCCAGTTGTTTGGAAGAGACACACTGAGCATGGGACTAGGGAGTCATGCCTTGAATGCAGATGCTAATGCATGCTTATGAAGGACAGGGTTCATGTTTATTTTCATCCATTGTGTTAGTATCTAAATATTTCACAGGGACATTTTAATTCATTTTGTGAAAATCTAGTGGAAGCTTTAGTTTTTCCACAAAAAGAAAAACAAAAAAAAAAATCATATATACATAAACAAGTTTTTCTTATTACTTTTAGAGAGGTGAGTTTCAGGGCCTTCTAGAATTCCTTCTGGAAGTATCCTGTTCTGGGCCTTTGGTAGCCACTTACTAACAAAGACTGCATCTGTTTTCTGGTCTTTCCAGCACCTATTTTTAACCATATCCTAGGTTTTTGGTTTTTGGTTTTTTCCCCTTTAACCTAGCATCTAAGCCAAGTTCTGGTTATTATTTTTAAGCTCTGTATTACCATTGTTACTGTGAGAGAATTGGAAAGGCAAAAAGACACTTGAGAGTGGCAGTGATGTTTTGTGACATCAAATTACATTTATTTTTAAAGATCTGTTTATTTTATGTGTAGGTGTTTGTCTACATGACTTTATGTACACCACATGCACGCAGGAACTTACAGAGGCCAGAAGGGGGTATTGGGTCTGCTAGAACTAGAGTTGCAGATGGTTGTGAGCTGCCACATGGGTGATGAGAACTGGTGAGCACTCTTAACCACTGAGCCCTTTCTTGGCCCCTCAAGTTATAATTCTGTAAGTTAATCAAAGACTTCGAGGTAAGAGAATTTATAGACCCTAATGAGAGGATTCCATTCTCAAATGTATTGTCGTGTCCTAGTCCTGTTGATCTGAATCAGAACAGGCTTTCCTGCATACATGCAAGATGGTGCTGCTTTCAAATGTATGTGTAGCACACACGGTGTTGATTATGTAGTGCAGTGGAAAATCTCGTCTTAGCTGTGTTTTCCTTCAGCAGAGCACTTCCCGCCGGATCTCAATTACCCTCCTGTGATTGAGAATAGAATTGTAGCAAGTCTCTAGTAATGCATTGAGTAGTATAGTAAAGAAAAGATGTTTTTCCAACTTTCTTGCGAGATTCTTACATTTAGACTGAAAGTTACTATTTGATTTATTCTCTCTTAGAAATGTTGATGAAAATTCCAAAAAGAAACAGCAATCAGAAGAGGACTCCAAAGAGGTCCTTAAAACAAGTGAGGTATGTCTTAGTGACAATGTCCTTTCACATGGCCTTTCATTAGATGCAGATTATTTAGTCCTTTGCAGTAAAACAATGTAATTTGGTACTTTTGATATTGAGTAAAAAACTCACTCTCACTCAGCATCTTAAAGCTGATCCTGTTTTGGCCTGGATTTCTCATTTTGGTGAGTTGATTGATAAGATTTTTTTCTGTTTCAGTAGTGATTACTTCTCTTCCTTACCTTCTTTCCTGTTTCTCATATGGAAATAACAGAATTTTCAATAATAATAATGTGAAGAAAAGAGCGAAACTAAAATCCCTCCATAACAACTATATGTATGTGCATATAGTTTTTTGAAGTAATCTGACAAATTTTTTTTTCTGATTTTGCTCACTTCATCTTACCTTATAAGCTTCCTAATTACTTAATGATTGACCAGTGCTATATTGAATGGATATATCATAATTTACTCAAGCACCAGTTTATATTTGACAATAAGGTTATATCCAAAATGTGTCTAAATTGTGAAAATATATGCAATGAATACATTTCTTCCCTGTGTTTGATTATTTTCTTGGGACAGACTTTGACTTTCATTGAGTTTAAGTCTTTATTTACAGAAACATATCCATAGTTCCATAGCTGAGCCATGGTAGAGAGTAGTAATTCATTAATCGTTATTCACCTTAATATACTCAGTGCCAAAACTGGGAGTAGAAGAAAGTGCAGAAGCTGTGCTGTTCTCTCCACGTCTTCTCCAGAATAAATGTATGTGCACATGCACACGTGTATACGTGTGCACGCTCATATATACGTTACTCTGAGTTACTATATACAGTTAGGATTTCATACACAGAGTATTATACAAATACTCTAAATTCATGTGGTCTCTATAAATGATTGGGTTCTGACTTGAGAAGTATAAAGTGTTAAGTCAGCATGTAGTTTTCATACTGAAAAGAACACTTAGCCTGTCCATTTGTCAGCTTGCATTTATTGAGGACAATTGGGCATGAGTGAGCTGTAGTGCTTTATAGAACTGAAGACCTAAAGGCATGGACAGCTCTCAGGTGATATCTACCTGCAGTATAGAGGGAAGAATGCTAGACGCAGAATCAAATCGTCTGGACTCGATTGGGTTCCACTGAGTTTCAACTCCTGATGCCTAGCACCTACTGCAGGAGCCAATTAAGTACCTCACACGGGCCAGGACGCACATATGAAGTACCTCACACGGGCCAGGACGCACATATGAAGTACCTCACGCGGGCCAGGACTCACATATTAAATGTACCCAAATATTAAATTTGAATCTAAAATATTTCTCGTATTTCACCCTTTGTTTTCTTAACAGCACTGCGAAAAAGAAAAGGCATCGTCCAAGGAGGCGAAGCATGCTCATGTCAAAGGCGAACCAAGTAAACCTGCCCGGAGACTTTCAGAGTCTTTGCATTCATCTGATGAAAACAAAAGTGAGTCCAAAGCAGAACGAGAGCATAAGAGGCGGACATCGACGCCTGTTGTGACGGAAGGGGCACAGGACGACACAGACACAAAAGACGGAAAAAGGCAAGCAGAACGCTCTGAGGTTAGCACAGAAGAACCCACAAAACAGAGAAGCACCCTTAAAAATGAAAGGTATCCAAAGAAAGATGACCCTGATGCTCCCCAGGGGAAAGGCGTACTCAAGAAAGAGGCAAAGCCTTCCAAGGAAAAGCCTGAGAAAGAGAAAACTCCGTCAGAAGAAAAACTATGTTCAAAACACAGATACAGAAGTGACAGTGTGCACAAGACAGGTGACGAGATGGAGCTTCACTCCTCTGAGAAAGCTTTAAAAATAGAGGAAAGCATTCAGAAGCCAAGTCAGCAGACCAAACCTGCTTCAGATGACAAGGCTGAACGTAAAAGTAAACACAGGAATGAGAGGAAATTATCAGTATTGGGTAAAGATGGAAGGCCAGTTTCTGAATATCTTATAAAAACAGAGGAGAATGTACGTAAAGAACACAGCAAGAAGGAGAAGCAGCCGTCGTCTGGAAAGCCTAAAGTAGATCACAGAGCACGAAGATCAAGTGATTCCAAAATTCAGAAGGATTTTCTAAGTTCCAAACAGCAGAGTATCACGGCACAGAAAAGAAGTGAAAGTTGTTCAGAAGACAAGAGTGAGGCTGATGTGACTGGTTTAGACAGCAGTTTAAAACCAGAAGAGGGCACTCATAAGGAAAGGCGAAGGACAAAGAGCCTGATGGAAGAGAAACCTGGGCTGAAGTCTAAATGGAAAGGGCACGGCAGACAGTTAAAGGCTGCTGAAGCAGAATTACAAGACAGTGTCTCGAGACAGGTGAGTGCTCCAAAGCCTGACAAGAAGAACACAGAAGAAAATGACCCAGAAAGGCAGCGCAAGGCCAAAGCCGAAGACAAATCAGAAGAAGCTGGCGGTGAGCCTGCACTGGAGAGTGCCGCTCCTTTGGCACACGGCGCACAGAAGGACTCTGGCCACAGAGCCAAGTTACCATGGGCAAAGGACAAGCATAAGAGTGATAAAGACTCGAGCGCCTCCAGACTGGAGAGAAAGTTCTCAGATGGGCACAGAAGTAGGAGCTTAAAGCACAGCGGTAAAGACACGAAAAAGAAGGAGGAAAGTAAGTCAGAGGACAAGGATGGTAAAGATGCTGACGGCAGTCATGAGAAGGCCAGAGGGAATGGCTCGGGCGTAGAGAAGAAAGTAAGTAGAAGGCTCTGTGAGCATCGAAGAGGGAGTGTGTCCCAAGAATCGGCCAGGGATGATAAATTAGCAGCCAGCCCCTCCGGTACCTCCAGTACTTCCTCCCTCCAGAGACCAAAAAAAAATGCCGAGACCACACCAGTCCCTGAACAAGAACTGATGGAAACTGATTCTGAGGCAGCTGTCGAGAGTGTATCTGAACTTTCTAAGGCCCAAGACAACAGCAGCTATAGTTCACAGCAAGACAGTGACACCGAGAACATTACAAAACAGAGAACTGCTGCCGAGGTGCCCAAGGACGAGCTCAAAACTTGCATGGTGGACTCAAAGCCGGTGGCTGTGAGCTCTAAATCAGGGCGTGCAATAGCAGTTACTAGTAATTCTGAAAAGCACACTGACCATAAAAGCACCCTGACCAAGAAAGTGCATACCCACAGTGCTGTGTCCAAACCAAGTCCTCGGGAGAAAGAGCCAGGGCAGCGTGGAGCTCAGGAAGTGAGTGTGGACCCTGAAGCCAGTCGGAGAGTGCTGTCTAGGGCCCTGCCAGAAAGTGATAGGCTTCCGAAGAATTTGAAAAGCACTGCCAGGGCCACTGAGGCGTGTGGCACTCCAGGAGAAACTATTCTTGAACATTCCTCAGACTTAGATGCCTCACCCTCCTTACGTTCAGCGACTCTCATACCTCAAAGAGAATCTCATGACTCAAATACCATTCCTGCCATTAACAGAGAAGCTGTTTTGGAAGGCGGCACACCCAGCACCTCCGTTGTGGGTGACTCTGATGTCCCTAACCAAAATTTGGCTGTTAAGAAATCAGAAGTCCACAGAACAAATGACAGCAAAGAAGGTAGCGACAGTCCCACAGTAAATACACCAGTGAAAGCAAGCACGGTTACCAAGAGGCCCGTTCCAGAACATAGCCAGGCCATGTCATTGGACACAGAGAGCAGACCAAGCATGCCTTTTGCTAGCAAGGCAACAGATGTAATGGTGGAAAATAAGGGCATTAGCACAGACAAGAGCTTCGTGGGCTCAGCCAAGAAAGAGAGTGATTTAAAGGCAGAGCCTGATTTGAAGCAGGACAGAATCGCAGCTGGTCACATGGTCGGCCTGAGTGCAGGAAAAGACCCTGAGGCAGTCAAACAGAAGCATGCCAGAGAGCCAGACAAACGCAAAGGACTGCCGGCTGACGTTGGAAGGAGGACAGAAAGCAACGAGGTGGACACCAGTGCTGGGCGGGATCCTGCCTCTGTGTCACCACAGAGGAATGGGAAGATGGACAGGGAGGCCACAGCACCTGACAGAGAAGACAAAACTTCTGTTGCTACTAGTACTGAAGGGAAGGACCAAGGCATGGCCTTCAACCCAGTGAAAGCTGGAGATGCCATCACCACTTCCTCCAAAACAGGAGAGAAGGGGCTGTCTTTGCCTTGCACCAGCATTGAAGCAGATGAAGGGTTCACAGTGGGTGCGTGCCCCAGAAACGAGCTCCTGCAGGTTGGGGCAGGAGCCAGAGAGTGCACTGTTTTTGCTGCAGCCGAAGAGGGTAGGGGTGTCGGTGTTGTCACAGAAGGGTTTGCTGAGAGTGAGACTTTGCTCACAAGCTCCAAGGAAGGAGAAAGTGCAGAGTGTGCTGTGGCCGAATCACAAGAGAGAGTAGTGGGCCCCGTGGCCCCGCAGACAGTGGACATCGATGCCAACATGAACAGCGTTGTGACGGAGGAAAAGGATGACGCTGTCACGAGTGCAGGCTCTGAGGAAAAGTGTGGTGGGTCTTCGAGCCCAGGTGAAGGGACAGGGACTTTGATTGGCGAAGTTGAAAGCGATGGAGCAGTTACTAGTGCTGGGACCGAGGTGAGAGCAGGGTCTGCCAGCAGTGACGATGTGGACGGGTGCCAAGGAACTCGGGCAGTTGGTCCTAAAAAAGAAACGGAAGGCACTGTGACATGTACGGGAGCAAAGGGACCGAGTGAGGCTTCCGTTTTCTGCTTGGTAACTGCGGCAGGCCCACAAGAGCAGCATGTGGTTACAGGTGCAGATGTGGTACAGGTGGGTGATGATACACCCCCAGAGACAAGTGCCAGCCAAGAAGGAGCCGGTTCTGGGAATGACAGTGCAGAAGGCGAGAGTGCGGTCACCAGCACAGGCATCACTGAGGAAGATGGCGACGGGCCAGCAAACTGCACCGGTTCAGAAGACAGCAGTGAAGGCTGTGCTATCAGCTCTGAAACAGAAGAAAACGGGGAGAGTGCAATGGACAGCACGGGGCTCAAAGATGGCCCGGATGTGCCCTTAGTGGCTGCGGGACCCTGTGACGACGAAGGCATTGTCACCAGCACAGGCGCCAAGGAAGAGGATGACGAGGGGGAGGGCGTTGTGACCAGTACTGGGAGAGGCACCGACAGTGGGCATGCATCAACGTGCACAGGGTTAGAAGAGACTGAAGGAATGTTGGTTTGTGAGAGTGCAGAAGGGGGTGCTCAGATTGGCCCTGCGCTGGAGCGTGTGGATGCTGAGGCGGGGGCAGCCATCGTGAATACAAACGAAAGAGATGTGGACAGTGTGAGCGGTGCAGACAAGGAGGCCAAAGACCCTGATATCTGCTCTAGTGCCAAAGGGCTCGTAGAAAGCAGTGTGACCAGTGCCTTCGCGGGGCGCGGGGAAGGAGGCGGCGAGGGTCCCATGACTAGTGCAGCTTCCGATCACACTGGTAGTCAGCTCTCCAGGAAGGAAGTGGCTGAAGATGCACCCATTTCCACTGGCGTGGTGGGGGGCAGTTACGATGTCCTTGTGTCTGGTGCCATCCCAGAATGTGAAGTTGGCCACACAGCACCCAGTGAAAAAGACGAAGGCATCATCACCTGTGTGGACAGTGACGGGTGCAGTGGCCTTTTGGCCAGCACGGCTGGGTCTGACGTTTCCCAGAAAGACAGTGTAGCTGGCGCTAAAAGTCAGGGCGGTGGGCTGATGATTTCGACCAGCACACGTGGTCCGGCGCGCACCGTCGTAGCCGTGCAAGAAGGGCACGCGACAGGTGCCGGGGCGACCGTGGAAGGGTTCGAGGCCCCCATGCCCAGTGCCGTGTCAGGGGGCGAGGGCCGCCTCACGGCCAGCAGGAGCGAGGACAAGGATGAGTGTGCCATGATCTCCACGAGCATCCGCGAGGAGCTCCAGGGGCCCATGTCCAGTGCGCTGCCCGTGGGTGCCGAGCGGCAGGCAGCCGCAGCCGGGGAGAGCACCGCGGCGCTGGGCTCGGTGAGCATCGAGGACTCCGAGGTGCCGACACCAAGTGCTCCCGCCGGAGCTGAAAGTCCTCTTGCCTCGACCAGCAAGGAGGAAAAGGATGAGTGTGCGCTCATCTCCACCAGCGTGGCGGAGGAGTGTGAGGCCTCCGTGTCCGGTGCCAGCGACAACGTGCCGTCCTTGGCGGACGGGAGTGCCGTCATCTCGACAAGCTCGGGGGAGGACTGCGAGGGCCCGGTGTCCAGTGCCGCCCCCCGGGAGGCAGCCTGCCCCTCGGTCACCGTGGTGGAGGAGCCCGGCGACGCCGCCATGATTTCCACGAGCACCTCTGAGGGACGGGAGGCAGCCATGGTTGGGACCGTCCCGGCAGATGAAGACCAGGCGGCGAGAGCGGAGGACGTGAGTGACGCCGCCATCATCTCCACCAGCACCGCGGCCTGCGTGCCTCTGGGCCGGGGCAGACGCGAGGCGCTCCTGGCTGGAAGCGGAAGCCTCTCGGAGACGCGGAGCGTGTGCGAGCTACCCATGCCCAGCCTCGTGGCCGAGCGTCTCTGCCGGTGCCCAGTGGCGGTCCCGGGAGGCAAACGAGCATGGCCCCTGCCGGCTGTGAGCGCTACGGAAGGGCGGGACGGGCTGCCAGCCAGCGAGCCTTCTGCGGGGCAAGGCCAGCCGGGCGCTGCGCGCACCAAAGACGAGGACGGGCGGGACCCCGGCCAAGGCCCCGGGGCACAAGCCGGATCCTGTAGCTCCGTTCAGGGGGACAACAGAAGCCCAGAGACGGGAGCGCCGGGTGGTTGTTGGGCGGGAAGGGGCTCCAAGAGCCTGGGAGGCGCGGGACCGAGTGCAGAGGCCCTCTCTGGCAGCGTCCCCGGTCTGGCAGCAGTCAGCGCCAGCCCAGACGCCGCGGGGCAGAACTCTGTCCCTTCTGACTGGCAGGGGCCCGAGGACAGCTTGAAGACAACCAAACGTACCGCAGGCCAAGAATCAAAACCGGCTCCTTCCCACGCGGCAGCCCTTGCAGCTGCCTGCCCCTTAGCTCCATCTGCTCCCGAGGGGGAGGCCGCCCTGACTTCCCAGAGCCATCATGGCAGCGCCTGGACCGATGAAGCTGAGAAAAGAGGACCCGCTGCTGGTGCCCAGAAGTCATCCCCCAGGGAGACAGACCTTGATGCCCCTGTCGCTGAGGAAAGCACGTGCAACACAGGTGACAGTCGGTTTATAGTTATTTTCTTTTTGTTCTATGTGTATGAGTGTATTACTTGCATGTATGTAAGTGCACCCGAGTCCTACACTGCCCATGGAGGTCAGAGGGTGGCACTGGATTCCCCTGGAACTAGAGTTCCATGGTTGTTGGCCACCATGTGGGTGCTGGGAATCAAACCTGGGTCCTCAACCAGAGCAGCTGGTGTTCCTAACCGCTGAGCCATCTCTCCAGCCCCATAACTGTTTTTCTTAACACTGATTTTATAACAGCTCCTACAGGATGATCTTCCAAAAGGTGATTTTGGTTCCAGAATGACAATATACACTTTTCCCTTCAGTGTTTAAAATAACTCATCAAACTTGAAGGTTGACCTTCTCTGAAAGATACTGTATTTTAAAATTTGAAGCTAGACCATTTTTATGTGGCACTATAGAAAAGGCAGGAGTTGTGAGAAGGCGCCTGGCTGAATCCTCATGACTGGGAAGCTTCTCAACTCCTTGACCTCTAGATTTCTTGTGCTTGGTTGGTCGGTCCATCAGTTGGTTTGATTTGGTTTACATTGTCCTGGGAGGTGAAGTAAGGGCCTCTCACATGCCCCACCACTGAGCTACACTTCCATCCACTGTTACTGTTTTAACTGAATTTTCTGTTCAAGTAAATTTTCTGTTCAGAGTTAGTTTCTGGACTAGACAATGTTTGAGGGTTGGAGGGCTGTTCCTTCTTGACAGATTTCAGAGTGTGGGTCTGGTAGAAACTGAGAATGCCTTTCAAACGTAGCATTTCAGTCATCACTGATTCAGATACTCTGTAGAAGTCCGGCTGTACTAGGCTGTGGCCCATGCAGGGATAAGTGGAGAGAGCAGGTGCCGTGTCCGAGAGCAGTGTGGCAGTGATGCAGCTCTAACAGGTACTGAGGCGAGGCGGGAGCAGCACACCAAGGCCTCGGAGCCCCTGAGCTAGACTTAGAGGGTCTGTGGACCTTGATTCTTCTCCATTCTAGCTGTGCACACTGTGGCATCCTGAACATGTAAACGAACCAAACCTTCCTGACACCTAGCCTAGCCTCAGAAATGAGGCCAGTAGAGGTAGGCCTGTTCGTTACAGGTACTTAGACAAGGCATTCGAAAGTATTCTCAGAGTTGAAATAGCTAAATATTCCTACAGCGTTTAGCCTAGAGTAAGTTGGATGCTCAGGTAGCCCTTATGACCCAGCCTTTCCTGCAGTCTCTTACTGCCCCCTCCCATTTTCTTCCCCCCGGAAGAGCAAAAGTAGAGGGGTTCTTAACAAGAAAGAAGCTTGCAGTTTCTTGGGGAAAAGAAGGCTTTTCTTTGTCGGTTTGTGTGTGAGGCAGATGAGGGAACTGAAGAAGCTACCAGCTGCAGCCGGTGCACAAGACTCCACCCGAGAGAGTGCTACCTCTTCAAGTCCTCCTCGGTTGTTAAATTTTATGTTCAATTTCACTGTCAGGAAGTAAAGTGGGTCTATGTATAAATCACCGTCTTTATTATTTATCTCAGTGACTCAGAATATGTACACATGTATTTGTAGGGACAAACTTGATGGTACTAACTTCAGAACAACACTAAGAAGTAAGATGTCTCCATATCCTTGCTTCTGGTTCCTTTCACACAACCTGCTCCTTTGTATAGTTTTTGCACTTCCAGTGAAATAAGTCATGGTCTGGGCCAGCAGGGACATGCCACTTCTTTTTCATGTGAGATATCTTTGCATTTGGATTCTTACATTATGTTGATCTTTGAATTTCATAGGCAGTGAGGAGTCGTCAGCAAAGGTTATGGGAGAATCGGAATTGTCAGCCAACCTGAAAATTGAGGTATGACCGGTAATTCAGTAATGCCCACCTGTTACTGGCATATGCTGTTCACATGTGCGCGATGCACATGCACGCACGTGTACCTCTGGCACTTAGTATTGTTAATGTCATACGCTGTAGGATACAAAAGCTAAGGACTTCATCAAGGTCAGTAAACAAGTCCATCATCAATTCCATCTCTTCAAGGCAGGAGCAGAATCACCTTCAGTTTCTCTGTCACCCAAGTTTAATCTGTTGCCCTTTCTTGTGGGTTCCATTTCCAGAGCAGAGCAGGAATCCGTGCATTTCTATTTCTATAGTGACCACCCTCCCCTAAGCCTCTGCTTCCATGACTTTCTGTTAGACGTCAGTTCTCCTGAGCCCTTCTGTGATTCACACAATTGTGCAGGCTCTTTAAAAACAAAAATTAGAACCTAGCATTGCTGTTTAAAATTTTCCATGGGGGCTAGAGAGATGGCTCAGCGGTTAAGAGCACTGGCTACTCTTGCAGAGGACCCAGGCTCAATTCCCAGCACCCACATGGCAGCTAACAACCGTACCTAACTCCAGTTCCAGGGAATCTGAAACCCTCTTCTGATTTCCATGGGCATTACACAACATGGGTGCACATATATACATGCAGGCATTGCATTCATACACATAAAATAAGATAATAAAATATTTTAAAATTTTCCATACTTCATATTTAGCATAAAATCACTCTTGTTTTTATTGTGGTCTATACCATGTGCAAGGTAGACTCTACATCCTATTTTCAGCCTGATTCCATGGCACCCTCAATCTGTATGTGACTTGGTTGCCGTGAAGGGGTGGGGGACTTACCAACAGCGTAGAGAGAATCCTCTTGAAAAGAACAGATGAGGTTTGCAGAAGGATGTTGGGGTCAGATTCTGAAGGTGGAGTGGGTGTTTATCAAACAGAAAGGAAACCTCAGCGGAGGGAGCATATGCTCTAGACTGGGGAGGACAGGTGCTGCCCATGCTCCAGGCTCCTAGCTGTGAGACTCAAGTCTGGCAGGGAGGAGGGACCAATCCAAAGGGCCCTGTCTGCTGTGCTAAGATAGTCTTACCTTTTGCAGTAGAGAACCATTGATAGTGAAGTGTGAGATTAGACTGATTTTTCTTATTTTTAAAGATTAGCATACTTATTTTTCAATTTCACATGAAAATACATTTTTGTGTTGTTTCAAGGTGTTGGGTGGTTTTGTCCAGTTCACTGGAGCTGGCAGCTAGTCTTACTCCCTGGTAAAATCCTCAGGTAATTTATTTTTATGGTGCTTTGGATTTTAGACATTTGTGCCTTCAGAGAGGGGTAAAAATCATGAAGTTGCAGCGGCACCCAGAAGCCCCTGCTTTGAAAGGCCGAGAACAACGGGTAAGCGCCTCTACCATTGCTCATGTTGTTTGTTCCCTGCATATATGTTTATCTTTCACCACGGCATAAAGTTAGTCACTGATTTATAATAAAACACTGTCAAACAGAATGAATTTGCCTCTCACTGTTTAAAATAGCTTGAAGGGAATTCTTTATTCTTTCCCTTTTTAAAGGCTTTTTTTTTTTTATTTTTAATTTTATGTATATTAGGGAATGGGTGCAGGTGCCTGCAGAAGCCAAAGGCAGCAGGTCCCCTGGAGCTGGAGTTACAGGCAGTCATGGACCTCCTCTGTGGGCACTGGGAACGGAACTCTGGTCCTCTGCAAAAGCAGTATGCACTCTTAACTACTTAACCATCTCAGCTCCGTATGCTTTCATTAACAAATACTTTTTCTCTTTCTGCTTTATACAGGGTAACTGATTAAATCCTACATCTCCAAATAATAACAGAAAGGAAATTGTTTGGGGCAAGTGCTTGCTCCTGTGTTTCCCATGCCCCTTCAGCCCTGTAGGGTCTGCAGCTCATTCCTAGAGAGTGGTCGTTTCCCCACCAGACCCCCTTGGTCCTGGCCCTAGAACTCTGATTTTTGTACCAATGGCTGCAGCAAACTCTCCCAACTGTGCAGTATTCAGTGTTGTTGGCTACAAACAACAAAGCTTTTAGGGGAAAACCTAAGACTCAGAAAGGATTAGGCAGGCGCTCTCAAACACTTCAGTCTCGAGACTACTGTACACTCTGAACACTTATGGAGGACCCCAGAGAACTTTATTGCACAGATGATACCTGTTGACATTAGCCAGAGAAGAAACTAAGCTTGAAGAATATGATGATAAATACTAGTTCAGTGTAATTATAAGTCGGTGTAAATAACTATAAGTTAACTTAAATAACTTCTGTAGACTGTCTCACATTTTTGCAACTCTCCTTAAATACTACGTACTGTAAAGCAGGTTGCTCCTTTCTGCTCCATGGTCGCTCTGTTGCTATTTGCTTTGATCGAAGTTTAAGAACAAAACCCACCATAGATTTACAGTTAGCTTTGTTTGGATTGGTGCTAGAATTAAACCCAGGGCCCCATATTTGCTAGGAAAGTTCTCTACAACTGAACTACATTTCCAGCCACTATGTTTGGCTTTTAGGAGACTTCTCAGTTAGCTGTAGATACAGTTATAGGTATGTAGTCAGTTAAAACTCTTTAATACGCTCCTGACCTCATGATAAACAACATCTTATTAACAGTAATATGCCTTAGTTTCCTGTCTTGTTGCTGTGGTAAAATGCCTGACAAACGCCACTTAAGGAAGAAGGGTTCTGGAGAGACCATCCGTCATGATGGGCAGACCTCCAGTCCCAGGGGATCCAACAGCCTCTTCTAACCTCTGCAGGCATTGCACAACATGGATGCACTTACCTACATGCAGGCAATACACGCATACACATAAAATAAAAATAATAAATAAATTATGACCAAATTTAAGTCCATTCTGTTCTCCTCCCTTTCTCCTCCCTCCCTTCCTCTCTTTCTTCTCTCTCTCTTCTTGTCTTCTCCCTCTCTCCTCCCCATTCCCTTTCTCACTCCCTCTCCCTTCTCTCTTCTCTCCCTCTCTCCAGTGTTGAATTATCATGCAAGTCAGGACAGTCAGGGTCATTTGGATGACACATAACTTAAAACCTTCAAACGATTTCTTTAAGGAACTTTATCAGCTCAGAGAACTGAAAACACAGGCAGGGCATGGTCCGAGAACGTGCTGCTATCCCCATGAACACATCTGGTAGAATCTGTTTCTTGTTTTCTATCTCATCCTCCTACAGAGACCATTTCTGTGTCAGTTGTAGCCTCTAGAAGCATGGCCTTGACCTATTTCAGACCAGGATCTACAGAATGTAGCTTGCTGGTGCACTTGGATCAAGTGTTCCATTCCTAGAACTGCAGTGTTAGAGACTGCTGCCTGGGTTCTCATGGGAAATGCTAGGAAAGCAGCTTGATTGATGCCTAGCGTAATTAAGTCAGCTCTTTAAACCAGTCTCCTGACATATCAGTAAGCCAAGCACCTTGAGACCCAAGGTGTGCTGAGGAGTAAGGCACAGTGATAGTGGATCATTCCAATGAAGGAATGGCAGGTAAACTCCATCCATGACTACTGCCAGGCCGTGACTGGGGATCTTAGCAGAATCATCGGAAATGGTCTTAGGAGCCCCTTAAGCAGAGATTCACCCAGTCCTGCACCACTCCAAGATTGCTAAGGCCTTCACACTGAAGCTAGGTCATCCGAAATGTGAACAGATAGATTAGTTAAAATGACTGCGGATGTTTCAATAGCATATACTGTTCATTGTCAAGAAGGTAATATTTTTGCATTCTCAGGTCTTTTGTTCCCATGGTTATATTTTAGACTGTTTTACTTTGTTTAGGTACAGTTCAATAAGAGATCTATTTACATAAAAGAAAGCTGTTTAAAAGAAAAATGTGTTTTCTGTCATTGTTGAGTAGAAACAGTAAACCTTTACTTCAAGTTCTGAAGAATTATAAACAGACCATTACTGTTGAGGGGAATAGGATCTAACCTTCATTTGATAGTATTTTAAATGAACCAGTGTTTTAGAGCAGCGTCAACAAGTAATATGAAGGTCTTAAACCTCTTCCTAGGCTTCAGACTATTGCAGTAGTTAAATCCCTGTAAGACTCTACAGACACAGACATTGTTGTGAGAATGCGGTGTTCCATTCCGGTGTTTCCGGAAGTAGACAAAACACAGGTTGTAGAGAACAATTGGTCAGTTTTATGACTCACAGATGTCAGTCACCTGACATAGGCTTGTCTGACTGCTCTGAAAATCCTTACATATCTTGCTCTACGTTTCAAAAACAATCATTTCCTCATGTCTCATTCTTGTTTTCAAACAGCTGAACCACAAAAGGGGGCTTCATTAGTGAGCGAATCGCTAACTGTAAGTACCTAGAGTTGATTCTGATTCGTGTGTGTGGGTGCTACTGTGCATTGCTTTAGAGTCAGGAGGCCCTTGGGTCCTGTGTTCCCTACCTGAGTTCAGCACGCTGACAGCGGTGTTTACTTATACTTTTCCATATTCTCTGACATCCCAAGATCAAGAACTCAGCTTTCTGTTTTTATGTCATAGAATTCCATGTTCAGTTGATGTACGAGTTACTTTTCTGTTGCTGTGATAAAACACCATGACCAGGGAACTTATAGAAGGAAGAGTTTATTTAGGTTACAGCCCCAGAGTCCATCATGGCCGAGAGGCATGGTGGCAGGATGTGGCCAGAGCAAAAGGAGGAGTACTCACATCTTTAAGCAGACACAAGAAGCGGAGAGCGACTTGAAATCTGGCAAAGCTTAAGAACTCTCACAGCCCACCCCTAGTGATGCACTTCCTTAAGCAAGGCCATACTTCTAAAACCTCCCAAATCAGCGCCACTAACTGGAGACAATGCCCCATGCTTGGCACCGATGGGGGACATTCATACAGAGCACCACAGTTGTAATGTTTTAAATTGCCCTGACACATAGACAAAATTGTTTTGTTTTGTTTTTTGTGGTCTCTTTTTGAGACAGGGTCTCCCCGTAGCCCCAGCTGGCCTGGAACTCATATGTAGACCAGGGTGGCCGTGAACTCACAGAGATCCTCCTGCCTCTGCCTCCCAAGTGCCTGGGATCAAAGACATGCGCCACCACACCCGGCTGCAAAATAGTTTTTAGTTTGAGAATTAAGGTTCACTTTCTGCTTGTGGAAAATTTGTCTGGAGATACTGAACTGTAAATGTAATATATCCATTTATCCCAGGTGTGGTTCTCATGACCCCTTTGAATCCCTTGAAAGAGCATTTTTTTTGTTTGTTTTGTTTTGCCTCTGGATTTATAGGGAACCTAGGCACGGCTGAGCTCTTTGTAAAATATCTGCAGTTGCAGTCAGCCATTCTCCTCTGCCCCAGAGGAAACAAAGGAGCTTTGCTTATGACCAGGCTCTGGCCTCAGAGTCCTCCCCTCATCTCATTAAGCGACCCGTCTCTGTACCTAGGACTCATACAAAATATGTTGGGAAGAAGGGCCCCCTCCCCAATGTGGGTCAGGTTTGCCCTCCCAGGCTGCCAGAGATCCTCTGAGGGGCTGCACCTACAGAGGCCGGCAGGGTGTGCTCCCTCCTCGTTCGCCCTACGTCCCCAGCAGTGCCTTGTTCCCAGCCAAGTAGGACCTCCAGATAGAGAGTACCCTAGCTGGCCTTGTAAAGTCGTGTAAGCTATTTTCAGACTTTGCTCTTAGTTTAAAATAAAGTAGGACTGATAAAACTTGCCAAATAGGTGGTTTTATACTAAAAATACTTCAGAGTTTTGGGTGGGGCTTGCTGTTGTTGGGAATTTTTTGAGTTTTTTGAGAGCAGGGTCCTGCTGTGTGACCTGGTGCTTCCTGAGCTCCAGCTTGAAGCCACCCTTCTTCAGCTCCCTGCTGCTCAAACTGCAGAGTCGAGCTCGGAGTTTGAAAAAACCCATGACAGCTCTTTGAATGGAAGAAAATTCGTAGAATTTGAGATTTGTTTTTTCTTTCTTATTTTGCTTTTTCTAAAACCATTTTAAAGACAAGGAGAATAAACACGGTGGTATAATAACTTACTAAGCTAGAACTTTTTCACAAGGAAGAGGCCCTGTACTCTTGAACTTCTGGGTAAACTGAAAAGAACACGCACCCCAGTTCCTGACAGCATTTGTATAAACAGCCAGATTATGTAAATTCCTTTTTTCCCCTGCCTTTAAGCTTTATGTGAGACTGTTCATCAATAACCCTTTATTGTACATTTAGGTTGAAAACTCAGACTCAAGAATGAATGAAGTTCATTATGAATCTCATAACAAAGGAGGTAAGTTAATGAACTTCATAATAATTTGAGTATTAATTACCATTTGTTGTGGGTCTGCTATGTGCTGTGCTCTGAACGATTTACTTCACAAATTTTCTCTTTGAGTTTCTGTAGTCCAGGAGAGTCAGTGTTAACATCACGTTCGTAGCTAAGCAGGTCACCTTAGAGAAGTCGAGTAACCCGGCTGCACAGCGGAGGCGGTACCCTGTCTTCAACGGCTACTAGAACCTAGCTAGCAGCTCCAGCGCTAGTCGGTGGAGGTCAGTCAGCGCTGACGCTGACACGAAATGACAGTTTCCTATGCTTTGCACCATAGGAATGTAAAACCTTGGGCCGCACAGCCAGCTGTGCATTTGCGAACTTCTGGCAGACTCATTATGACAACAGAGCAGAAAACTCAGGTTTACCTGGGTCAGGCCTCCTTGCACACGAGCTTTGCAAGCCACCAACTCCAAAGAGAGTTCTGTTCCCAACCAGCTTATAGAATTTGGTTGGTTTCTATAATTGTTTTGCTTCTCTAATCCAAGAATGGAGAAAGCAGATCTCTGCCTCATGTTCTGGTGTTTAATGTAGTACATCACATTTTAAACAGTAATACAGTGGTGATGCTGATGGACACTCGGGGGCCTGTTTAATCTTAAAAGTCAGCCGGTTGGCTTTACTCTGTTAAAATGTTACAAATATAAGAAATCCTCTAATGCTTCTTCCTAGTCAGGATCTCTTTCTCTTTTTTCCCACTCCAAAGGGAACCACTATTCTGCATTTACTGGGTATGCTTTGGTTTCATAAGGTGCACATAGCTTATGTCCCCTGCTGTAGATGAATGGTAATTCTGTTTTATAGAGCCTCGCCACCATATTTGCTTCCTGCAGTAGGTTCTGAGAGTTGCATCTTGTTGATTCTGCAGAAGCCTAGTAGGTTTATCTTATGGCTAGTTCTCCATTGCGTGAATATGCCACAGTTATTTTTTGCTTCTGTTCCTGGTGGACAATTAGATTTTTTGCAACTTTTCTAATTACAAAGAGTATGACTTTGCGTGTTCCAATCCCTGTTTCCAAGAGCATAAGCAGCGGTGTCCAGTGTCTAGTATAGAACTGCTCCATGTCAGCATCTCTTCAGTGTTGCTGAAGGCCAGCTTGTCTTTAGGTGTCACACTTGTCACTCCACACCTTTATATTGTGTCTGGTCTCGCTAGAGTAGTGAATGTCTCCTGCGGTGCTGTGATGCAGTATTTCATCGGGGTGTTTTGTTTTGTTTTGTTTTTGAGACAGGGTTTCACTATATAGTTCTAGCCGTCCTGAACTCTTTGTGTAGACCAGGCTGGCCTCAACCTCATAGAGCTCTGCCTACCTCTGCCTCCTGAGTGCTGGGATTAAATTATGTACACCATCACACCCAGTTTTCATTGGGGTATTTTGGACACTTCTTAATACTGTTTTGCTGCACATGCTGAAGGGGAGAGGCCTTGAAGTCTGTTGGGTAGAATTTACTTTTTTGACCCTGACATGTTACCTTCTTCCTTGAGCCTCACATTTTACAATGACAAAAAGTGACAGCACTGTGGGGAGGGTCCCATCAGATGTCATCTGTGAACTGTTGACTACAGAGCCCAGTGTGTGGAACTGGCACTCAGAGAAATTGCTAAATCATTTCTCGTTACTACCTGTATACACTCAAATATTTTATTAAAATATCTAAGATGATTTTTTGTTGTATTTACTACTCAGAACTACTCGGTGGTAAAAAACAGAGCATGGGAGCCGTGAGCGGTCACAGTGTTGAAGCAGCTCCGAAAGAGGTGCGTTTCTAGCAAACTCAGGCATTCCATGTGTTGTATGCAGTGTTCCCACCTGGGTGTGAAGAGAGGTGTTAGAAAGTCCTACTTTCTGTAAATTGAGTGGCTATATATACCTGTTTGCACTGTTGCAGTGTGTGGGTCATTAGCAGGTCCTAGGCTATTTTGAAGTGTCCTGTCCTGCAGTCAAAAAGTACTGTTCTGTGCTACCTTTCATCAAGCATTCCTAGTTTCATCCCAATGCAGGTACCAGCATTGTGACTCTAGGTTTACATGTAGGTGTCTGCTTAGGCTAAACGGTAGAAGCTTAAGCTTTAGTCAACTGATTCGGGTTCTGTTGCCCTTAATACAGTCCTTGTTAATTCCAGGTTGAAGAGGAAGAAAGGCTTATGCTGAGAAGAAAAGGAAAGAAGCATTACCCCTCCTCAGAAGACGAACTGGGTATTTATGTTTCTATTTAGATGCCTTTGAAAAACCATATTATTTATATTCCAAAAAAGTGGGGCAGCAACAGAGAACTGAACAGAGCAACTGTTCACTGCATAATTTGTGAGACTAATTTGAGAGACCAGTAGGAGAGACTTGATCCAAAACTTGAACTTTTCATTTCCTGCAGAAAACTCAACCCCTGGACATCTCACAAAGCTCTGTGATGTGGGCCTGTTCCTGAGCCCAGTGACACTGAGTTGTCTGCTCTGTACTGGGGCAGATGCCCTGAGCTAGTGAAGCCGAGGTGTGTGAGCTACACCTCTGCCGCCTCCTGCTGCTGTGCCTGTCCCATGGCCAGACGATGGAACTTCCCACACTGGTGGGCATGTTCCTGTTTATTTGTTGGTATATAGCTACTAGGTACTAGTCTGCTGGTGATTAAAGAAAAACTTTTAGTTTATTAGTTACTATAGACTACAGTAATAATCTAAATATATAACGGCACTGTACCATAGACGTTCCTCTCTTGATGCTGAGCCTGATGGTATGGGCCTGTAATTTCAGCTCCTTGGGAGACTAAGGCAGAAGAATGTAAGCTCCAGGCTTATCTGGGCTACTGAGTAAGACTGAAGTTTTAATTTTAAAATTTAATTGCCGCATGTTGCTAATGACTATCATATTACTGAGTGTGGTCCTCTTTAATACCTGATGGAAAATAGAAATTCAATAAATACTTAATGAACTGAATATATGCGAAAAAATAAACACTTCCTTTTTTACTTAGAAGTCAGTAATTATGTTGTAGTAATATGTGTATTGGTACTTGATACACATTCCCATTCTATTTTCACAGTATCCCATGAGTTAGGTATTCTTACCATCTCATAAATGTAGAAGTTCAAGTTCTGAGAGTCTCTGGTCTCAGTCACTGGGGTGTGCCTTGGATGGTAACTTATCCAGGAACTGAAGTCCAAGTATCTGGGAACTCTGTAAGCACCCAGGTTAGCAATCCTCTCACCTTCACGTCCTGAGTTCTGTGATTACAGGGTTGTACCACCATGCCCAGATTACACTTGGAGATTTTTTTTGTTGTTCATTTGTTTTACTTTGATAGGCCAGAAACCAGTGTTTGGTGCTCAGATCCCATGACATTTTAGATACATTTAGAACGACTTTTGGCTTTATTTCAGACCTAAAAATGTCTCAACTGCCTTAAAATAGGACTATGTATTTCATTTTTCATTTTGTTCTTTTGTGATTCTGTCCAAACTGATTTATAGATGATAACCCAGATGCACTGGTTTCCAGAATAGAAACAGCACAGGGTCAGTGTTCTGAAACGGAGCCTCATGACACAAAGGTATTTTTCTTCGGGTCATTTTTAAGTTTGGGGGTGACCTAGCTGCATCACTGTTGGTGATTACAAATTACCTTTCTACTATCCCTTTTACATTATGTGTCTCTAACAGTAATGTTTGTAATAAAAAATATGTATTTTTAATGTCTCCCTCGAAAATTTAAGTTTTCTACTTTGTAATTCATAAACAGTAAGATTGTATTAATACCACAATTTAGATATAATGGTTGCTTGTGGTTTTGCTCAGTGGTGTTATTTCTCAAGGTTTCCAGATGCTTTCTTCCAATTTATACTGTCCTTTCATCACAGATGTGCTTGCACTCAAGTGTTGAAATGCAGTGGCGCATAGTACTTGGAAAAGTCAGTATGCTGCCTTCTAGCTGAATGAATCCCCACCTACCCCCGCACACCGGGAGAGGATGGAGTCCCAGATCGTCACTTTTTCCTGTGGTCTTATTTCTGTCTTGGGATTCAGAGAAGCAGCCCGTAGATCTTTGTCCTCCCCTGGGCTCCCTTCACCCTGGTCCCAGATTTCCACACTTCCTCCCAAGCACCTCCTGAGTGTTCTTTTATTTCTAAAGCTCACAACTCTAAAACTTCTTCCCTATTTTGTTGTTTGCCACCTCCTTCTAATAAAAGTATTTCAAGTCAGTTTATCAAATACAAAGGCTGACTTCCAGCTCACTGAAGCCGGTTCATGGACTCTTTGTTTCTTCCATAACTCATGAACTAAATAAAAAGAAAAAAAGGACTTTTAACAGCAAAGAAGAAGTAGCATAGAATCATGAACTTCAGTGAGTTGTGACCAAGGAAAGAAATAGGCTTTAACCTCGTTTCTCGTCATGCATTCAGAACTAGGCTCAAGATGATACTTTTAAAGTTTTAGGGAAACAGTTTGAAGGGAGATCTTTTAATTTCCCTTCAATTTCATATAACTTGATTAAACGATAAATTTAAATGAAACCTAATAGCTATTTTCATTTAAAAATTGTAAACACAGAGTCAGGTCAAAGAGCTAGTGGTGGAGCATTTGCTTAGGGTGCATAAGACCCTACATTCCATCCTCAGAAGTCAAAAGAAAAAGCAGAATCCTTTCACTTTTATGACATATTTCCCTGCGTGGACGCTGTTCCAAAACTGTGTTTAACACCCAGTTTTTAGTGGTCGTCATCTCTATAGCACAGCTTCGCAGTGGTGCTATCATTTCTACTACAGCTTTACATCATCAGAATACATCACTTTGTAATAGCAATACAGCCATTGTGCTGTATGACTGAAAGAGGACAAAAATTGAACTTGTAAAAAACTTCAGGAACTGGAAAAATGAAAAATAGAGGAAAAAAATGAGTTGTGTGTACGTCATCAGGATCTGACTGAGTTCTTAAGGAACCTAATGTTTGCTCTGAAAGAATCATCCCCAAACCAAAAACACAGTCTATCCAAGGTAGGAAAACTTCTGGGCTGTGCATTGTTAGCTACTCTGTGAAACAGATCAAAATGTTCTAAGACTTCTATCCTGCCTCCCACCTTCCCTCTCAGCATTGAAGAAGTTCTAGGTAGGAAATAACTACATGCATGAGCCTGAATTAACATTTGATGTGGTCAGAGCAAATAGTTTATCAAGAGAGGGCAGTTTGGCTTTCCCAGGTGGGCCTATCTTCCGAGTTGTAAACCTGTACTCGCCCAGGCTGGGTGGAGTAATATGCCACTAAGGTATGAAAAAATGATGGCAGAGCCATGATTTAAATCTGCTTCTTACTAAAAATTAGTTTTAAAATGTCCACCAATATTTACTATCGAGATTGGCCATGGTGACAGAGGCTTACGTTGTCATACATGTGCCGGAATTACATGTCTTGGTCCTAGTCACACAGAGCTTTCAAAGTACCTTAAGGAAAGTTGGGAGTTCTATAGTTCAAGGACTTGCAAATGACCTCTACATTCATTTGTTTACTTTCAGCATTATATGATTAGAGTTTACAGATAATCAGTGAAATGAACTTGCAGAATCTGTTAGCCCAGTGGTAACTGAATTAACCTTCCCAAACTAGCTGCTTATGATTCCTACAAAGAGAACGTTATGTAGCCTCTGACAAATAAGAAATGCCTAAACTGACACTGTGTTCATGGGAGGTAATAAATTCTTCGTCATCCTTGCTACTGGGCAGAAAGAATCTGACATGAAGTAGCCCTCAAAATTCAAATGTTTAAAAAGACTGAAATGTAGATACAATGTGGATATGCTTGCTTTTGTATTTATGCCTCTTTAATTCTGCTGAAAAGTGGGCCAGCAACATGGCTCAGTGGGAAAAGGCCCCTGCTGACAAGGCTGATGACCGGAGTTCACTCCCTAGGACCCACATGGTGGAAGGAGAGGACTGACTCCTGAAAAGTTGTCCTCTGACCAACACATGCCCAAGGCACATGCATGCACACATGCACAAAGTAAATAAGTATATTTAAAAGCCCCTGAAAATCTGTTTCAAAACCCAGTGACACTGAGTGCCTCTGCAAAAGGAAGGGGGCATGGAGGGCAGTTCTTTACTTAATTTTCAACCAGGGGAGCCTGTGTTAGCAAGCCCAATAAACTTGGTTAGGGTTTCAAAAAATAAAAATAAAAGTAAATATGTTTAAAAGTGACCATTGGGATGTAGCTGAGTAGTAAAGAGCTTGCCCAGTAATCACAAGACCTAGTTCATCCCAGCAACAAGGAAAAGAAAAAAGAAATGAAGATTTATAATGGACCATTAAAGAAGTCATTTAAGTAAAGTTTAAAAAGTAAAGTTTAAGCTGGGTGTGGTGGCCCACGCCTTTAATCCCAGCACTCAGGAGGCAGAGGCAGGCAGATCTCTGTGAGTTCAAGGCCAGCCTGGTCTACATAGTGAGTTCCAAGACAGCTGGGGCTACAGGGAGACCCTGTCTCAAAAAGACCAAAAAAAAAAAGGAAATTACTTAAGATTATATAATAGTCCGTTAAAGTGGTAAAGTTAAAACTCTGATTTTTCATTTTATCTTGATCTCACACTACTTTATCCACTTTATGTCATATTGGTGTTATGAAAACTTTGACATTTCATGCTTAAAACTCTTGCAGATAAGGGTGAATTATTATTTTCTTTTTCTGTGTATGATATGAGTGTTTGATCTGCATGTATTGTAAGTGCACTCGTGTTGTGCAATGCCCGCAGAGGCCAAAGAGGGGATCAAACCTGGGTCCTCCACAAGAACGGCTGGTGCTCTTAGCTCCTAAGCCTGTCTCTCTAGCCCCAAGGGTGGATTATTCACCTACTGGAGCATTTCTGCTCTGAATTAGTTCGTCTGAATCCCCAGACAGTGGTTTTAGCATCTTCCCCACACCTCTCTGCTCTACCACTCCACAAAGATGTGGTACCCTCTCTGGTGGTTCTCACTTTAGGGTTTCTCACAAGAAGACAAAGTCTGTTTTGCAGGAAAAAATAAAATGAACCTGGCTTTAATACTTTGTACCTGAACCTGCTTTTCTGCCTTCAGAATTTTTTTCCTTTTTTATAGTCTCTCGAACTGCAATAATATATTTTTAAAAACATTTTCCAACAAGTTATTCTAAAGGACAACTATGAGATTGTTGTTGTGGAAAACTTTGAGGTGCATGAATGGAGGCAGAGTTAAATTTGAAAATGAGCATCTGGTCTTGTTCAACTTCCCTGTAGGAAGAGAGCTCTGGATATCTGGAGGAAGTCTCTAGAACAAGTGCTCAGACAGACAGCACTGCATGCAGGACCGTGGAGGAAAAAGGTGAGTGGAGCCCTGCAGCACCCTTGCCGACTGCTCCCTGTGTGACGTCTGCTCCCTGTGTGACGTGCTCCCTGTGTGAGTCTGCATCCATGTGATGTGCTCCCCGTGTGACGTGTTCCCTGTGTGACGTCTGCTCCCTGTGTGACGTCTGCTCCCTGTGTGACGTCTGCTCCGTGTGACATCTGCGTCCCTGTGTGATGTGCTCTCTGTGTGACGTGCTCCCTGTGTGACGGGCTCCCTGTGTGACGTGCTCCCTGTGTGAGTCTGCATCCAGGTGATGTGCTCCCCGTGTGACGTGTTCCCTGTGTGACGTCTGCTCCCTGTGTGACGTCTGCTCCGTGTGACATCTGCGTCCCTGTGTGATGTGCTCTCTGTGTGACGTGCTCCCTGTGTGACGGGCTCTCTGTGTGACGTGCTCCCTGTGTGACGGGCTCCCTGTGGGACGTGCTCCCTGTGGGACGTGCTCCCTGTGGGACGTGCTCCCTGTGGGACGTGCTCCCTGTGGGACGTGCTCCCTGTGGGACGTGCTCCCTGTGGGACGTGCTCCCTGTGGGACGTGCTCCCTGTGGGACGTGCTCCCTGTGGGACGTGCTCCCTGTGGGACGTGCTCCCTGTGGGACGTGCTCCCTGTGGGACGTGCTCCCTGTGGGACGTGCTCCCTGTGGGACGTGCTCCCTGTGGGACGTGCTCCCTGTGGGACGTGCTCCCTGTGGGACGTGCTCCCTGTGGGACGTGCTCCCTGTGGGACGGGCTCCCTGTGGGACGTGCTCCCTGTGGGACGTGTTCCCTGTGTGACGTCTGCTCCGTGTGACATCTGCGTCCCTGTGTAACGTCTTCTCTGTGTGACGTCTGCTCCCTGTGTGATGTCTGCTCCGTGTGACGTCTGCGTCCCTGTGTGACGGGCTCCCTGTGGGACGGGCTCCCCGTGTGACGGGCTCTCTGTGGGACGGGCTCCCTGTGTGACCGGCTCCCCGTGGGACGGGCTCCCCGTGGGACGAGCTCCCCGGGGGACGGGCTCCCTGTGGGACGGGCTCCCCGGGGGACGGGCTCCCTGTGGGACGGGCTCTCTGTGGGACGTGCTCCCGGAAGGTCTGGGCCATCTCTGGAGGTCCTGCCTGGGGACTGGTTGGTTACGGGTCTTAATGGTGAGGGCGTGTGAGCGGAGCGTGCGTCCGTGTGCGTGTTCACGCGTGGACCCTCTGAGGCGTGATGGACGCCGCTGAGTCCGCCTTTCCCCAGATGACAGCAGCAGCGACGCCACTGGGGAGAAGCCGGAGCCGCAGGAGGACGACGTCAGGGCGCAGGAGGTGAGCGCTGCCCCTCCCCTCATGCTCCGGCGCTGGAGGTGCCCTGAGCCTCCCTGAGGTGCCGTGGAGCAGTGGTGGCCTTGGGGTTAGTTCGTCCACTTTGTCTTCGCTCCTCAAAGCACCTCCTTGAAGCCGACTTAGTCATGAGTAGACAGGCTCAGCCCAGCACTCTGCTGGTGGCAGCAGGTGCTGGCCTTACAGCTGAGCGCCCAGGAGGAAGTGGGGGCAGGGGCGGGAGGCCCCGGGAGGCCTGGCGGAGTCACGGGTTCCCCAGCTTCAGGGTCCTCCGCGGCCCACCCAGCCAGGTTCCCAGGGAACCTGCGGGTCAGAGCAGCAGTGGCCCAGACACTCATGCAGGGCAAGCTGCTCGGCTTCCAGCACTCAATGCTTTCCTCTCGGGAGAAATTAAGTGGGTTCCTTTTATTTATTTTTATTTTTATGTATATGAGTGTATTGTATGTGAGTGCACCTGTGTCGTGCAATGCCGCGGAGGCCAGAAGAGGGCTTCAGATTCCCATGGCACTGGAGTTAAGGAGGGTTCCTAGTCGCCATGTGGGTGCTGGGAATCGAACCCCAGTGTTCTGCAGGAGCAGCCAGTGCTCTTAACCACTGAGCTATCTCTCTGATCTGCCTTTATTTTTTTGTAGGGGATACCATTTGGTCACAAGTACTTCAAACTACATCCCAGTTTAAACAGACAGACATACTTCTTAAAGAAGGGGCAGCACCCAATGAGCCTGTTAGTACGTGGGACTCCAAGTCTGTAGGACGGTTGTCAGAATTTACCAGGCATAGGAACTGCTGTGACAACTGACCACTGACTGCTTCACCAACCTCCCACCTGCCCTGTGATTTGATTCCTGACAGTGGGGAACTTTGAATCTCATTTTGAAAAAGTAAACACTTAGTACAGTAGAGGCTAAATTATTCTTTGTTGATGGGAGTTCTTTTTCTCTTTTCTCCCTTAGGAAGATCAGCCAATAATTATTAAAAGGAAAAGAGGAAGACCTCGAAAATACCCAGCAGAAATGGCTTTAAGAACAAGTAGGTATTTGACAGATTTTCATTTTATGAAGAAGAAATTTCTGAATTGATATTCCAAGTGAATTCTTATTTATTTTTTTTAGAAGAAGACTCCAAAGCAGATGTGGGCGTTGCCTCTGTAAGTACCTGGAGAGCTGAAGAGCCATTCTGGTGCTTGCCCTGGCCGTAAATGTCTAGTGTCATGAGCTTCTTTAAGTACTAGGAAAACCTGAAGAGGCTTTCTTAAACTTGGGGTGACCATTCAGATAACAGTAGGATTAGTAGTATCTTAATGTAAACAGAATCATGTTAGCTGCTTTTCAGCCAGCTCCAGCTGCTCTCTAAAATTCTTTAGGGCGTTACCTTCCTGTGGTCACCCTTGGTTAAAATACGGAAATTCACGATTTCGTGTGATTTTTGAGTAGTGGTGACTTTTCAAGGGCAGCCTGTCTTAGCGGTTCCTCTGGGATGTGTTTTTAGTGCAGTGTGCACTGATTTCAGGGCAGGGGAATCTTCCATGGCACTTTATCCTTGTGTTGGTGTTGGTGTAATGTGCATAGGTGTTCATGTAAATACATGGTGTATATGGGCACATGTGGGTGTGTGTCCACATGGAGGGCAGAGGTCAACCCCTGGTATCTACTTTGATCACTCTCCACCTTACTTTTTGAGAGAGGATCTCTCAGTGAAACTGCAGCTCATGATTCAGCTAGGCTGGCTGAGCTGTGAGCTCCAGAAATCCACCTGTCTCTGCTATAAACTCTGGGGTCACAGATATGCACCACCACACCCACGTGGTCTGGGATTCAAATTCACATCCTCATTCTTGTACAATAGTACATTATTGACCGAGCCATCCCTCCACCCCAGTCGTCCCTCCAGCACAGCCATCCTTCTACCCCAGCTATCCCTCCACCTGAGCCGTTCATCCAGCACAGCCATCCCTCCAGCACCCTGATCTTTTTGAATGTTATCTTTGACCTTGAAGTATCGCCCCAGTGAAATCATTGGATCAAGATTTCAGTGCATCCAGTTCAGTGCCAAGTGGTCCTAGAAGAGCAGCACTTTGAATTTAAACCTCAGCTTTGTCACTTACTCCCAGGCCATTCATGTGACCCTCCAGAGACTGTTTCCTTCCCTGTAAAACAGTGCTTCCCTCCTAGAATTATAAGACAGCAAAATCACAGACCCACATGTGAAAGGGTTTTTGGACCTTGGGGAAAGCCAACAAGTTTAACCATGATGCCGTTAGTCCTCCAGAGTTGCGGCCTGCTGGGGGAGGTGCTCATGGCAAAGACTTCAGGAGCATGGATACCCACTTTTGCTAGCAGTCCTTGACCAGCCACAGAAAATAGTCCACAGCACTCTGTCTTGTAGACAGAGTAAGGTCAAGTAAAGGTCTTAAGCTTTATTAGGTGCCTTTGTGTATGATAATGATAAACTGCTAATTTCAATTTTTATTCATTTAAACTTAGGTAGAGCAGTCTTCACCTACCAGCAAATTGAAAGGAGACCAAACAGGTATGTACCCAGCACTCCTCTGTGTATGGCCTGAGGAGTCTGCTGGGTTTTCAGTTCATGACAAGAAATTTTCGATACTACTTTTTGTTGTTTATTTTTATTTTATATGTGTGAGTTTTTGCCTGCATGTATGTAAGTGCAGCACATGTGTGCACTGCTTATGGAGGTCAGAAGTATTGGATACCCTGGAACTAGAGTTAGAGACAGTTATGAGCAGCTAGGTAGGTGCTGGGAACCAAACCTGGGTCCTCCCCAAGAGCAGCCATTGCTCCTAACTGCTGAACCATCTCTAAATGATTTTCTAACTAAGATGTGAGCAGAGAGTCTGGCTGTGAGAGATTTTAGGATTTTGGTGTTTCTCAATAAAATGAGTAGGCCTTTTAGTTTAATTTTTTTAAAAAAGAACTTTTCGCCGTTTTCGTCAGGAAAGCCTTCGAAGAGGAGCAAAGGCAGCAGAAAGAAAGTAGTGAGGGTGTGGCCCGCAAAGCGCTGCATTCAGTGTCCAGACCGTAGCTCTGTTTCAGGAGAAAATCACTAAGGAAAATCACTCATACCTAAGGAAGGCATGAGTCAAGAACCTGTACCCAGACGAGTAAGAATTCTACAGTGTACAGACCCCCCCGGTCTAAAAGGATAAAATTATTTCAACTATTTTTGTTGTCATTCCAAAGGAAAAAATATTCTAAGATGTTGGTAATGATCAGGCCTGGGTTGAGAGGCTGAGAGGGGCATTCCTTATTGTTTAGTGGACTGTTTGCCCTTTTTAAATGTATTTGTTTTTTGAGACAGGGTCTCCCTATAGTCCCAGCTGGCCTAGAACTTGCTGTATAGACCAAGCTGGCCTTGATCTCAAAGAGATCCTCTCCCTGCCTCTAGGATTCTGGGATTAAAGGCATGTACCTCCATGCCTGGTGTCTTTTCCAGTTTTTTAACATTGTGTACATATTAACTTCATGGTTTAAGAATTTTTACATAAAAGCAAGAGAAATCATCAGTGAGTTTTAAAGAGTTGACATAGTATGCAAAGCAGTTGAATAGGACAGCTGTATGTGTCAAATGAGTTACAGTTAGCTTGGGGAAGGGTGTATTCTGGTCAGCAAGACAAAGCAAATATTTAATTATATGTAAGCTTTTCTTTTTTGTCTAAATAGTCTCACCATCTTCTAAGAAGACTAAAGGTTTTTATTTTGTTTTGTTTTGTTTTATCTTCTTGAGACAGGATCTTCCTGTAGCCCCAACTGGCCTAGAATCCACAGTGTAGACCCAGCCAGCCTCGATCTCACAGAGATCTGCCTGCCTCTGCTGGGCATGCACCACCAAGCCCAGAAATATAAGCTTTTCTTCCTGTCTTTTGGTAAACTGAGATTTGTTTTTTGTTTTTCTGTTTTTTGTTTTTTTTTTTAAGGAGGGAGAATTCTGCTTCTGTTTGAGTTTGTCACCTGCGTCTTACTCTGTATATTTTAAATCTGTGCAAGAAATCTTCATAACTTGAATTCACCATAAAGACTCCACTGTATGTGCTCATGTGCTATTGCCATTTGATAGTCATTTTCTAAATCTGGGTGATGATGGCCATCTTAGGACCGATTTCTGTTTGTCTTATTGGCCTAACTTCCATGTTTGTTATTTATTGAATTAGCAGAAAAGAGAAAATACTACAGACTTTATCCCTGATAAGTAGCACGTTTCAGAATTGGGCAGGATAGCCTGGGCTACATAGTGAAACTCTGTTTCCAAAAACAGAAAAGTACCACTGAGTTTTTAGTGTTTGCCCATAATTTGTTGTTCAAATAATGCACTGCCTCATCTTTATTTTCCTTACCAAGACATATTTGCAGAAAATTGTAACATCTACAGAAAAACACAGAAATAGGCATCTTCTACAGACATCCTTATAATATTTGTGTGTGTTAGTTGCCTTGATGTAAGCATTTGCAGTGAAAGGAATTCAGAATAACCAACCTGCTTATTAATTATGGGACTCTGAACTAATTATAGAAACTAAGTTACTCAAGCCTGATTTTATTTTTTCCAAACTGTAAGCTGAGACTGTGATATTTATGGAACTGCGTTGAGATTTAAAAGAAGCATCTCAAATCCAAAATCTGAATTGCTTCAAAATCCAAAACCTTTCCAGTCCTGACATGATACCACATTAGAAAATTCCAGATCTGACCCGTGATAGTTTGCAGTTAGCTAGTGCTAAAAATACTTCATAAAATTACTTTCTGGCCATGTGCATAACAGTGTTTGTGAAATATAAATGAGTGTGTATGTGACAGTGTCAGGGAAGGAGGAGTGTACCTGTATGCATACATGTGTGCACGTATAGAGGACAGAGGATTACCTCAGATGCCATCTACCTCAAGACAGCGTCTCTCACTGAGTTAGAGCTCACCAGTTAGGCTGAACTGGCTAGTCAGGGAGTTTGTGTCCAGCTCCCCTGGGAATTGAAATCAATTCCTCATGTTTTCAAGGCAACCATTTTATTGACTGAGCTATCTCCTCAGCTCCTGACGTTTATGCTTGAATATTGGTCCCATTCCTAAGATCTTTAATTATATATATGCAAATATTACAAAATCTGAATAAATCCAAAATCTGAAACCCTTCTGACCTGAGCGTCTCACATACTAGATCCTTAGTCTGTGTGTCATCCTGACCTGCAGTTCCTGGTGCATCTTGCAGGCTCCACACACATGCCTTTCCTCCTCCCTTTCTGGTTTAGAGCATTTAAGCAGAAAGGGACTGTAAAGACTGTTAGCCCAGCTCCCTATCTGAAAATGAAAATCCTGAGACTCAGGGAGCCCAGAGCATATAGCCTATCATACATTGGAGCCAAACACCTTGGTTTTCTAACATAGCTTCTGATTGGTACCCTGATTCAGGTTCTGCTTGAGTAGTAACAAAATATGGTAAATTACATAATTGTGTATCAGGAATATTGACAGATTACAAGCCAGACTTTTTGCTGAAATTTATTTTCTAGTAATTAAACATTAACACAGGTTACCTTTTTTTAAAAGATGAGTGCAGTAAAGAAACAGCCAGCCTGCAGGACGGAAGCACGGGCAATGTGAGTGTTCATCTTCTTATGACGACAGAGCCTTGAAGAATACATTTAAGAAACGCCAGTAACCTCCCTCCCAACTTTAATTCTTTCCCTGCTAGGATGATGGCGAAGAGAAGACAGCAGCAAGTGTGCGTCGGAGAGGAAGGAGGCCCAGGCGCTCCTTCACTTCATCAGATGATGCTGGTATGTCTCTAGAACATTCTTAATTACACCCCTATTATTTCAAAAACCACACTTTTTAAAAAAAAATAATAATTCTTTGGATGAAAAAAAATCCAGTGGGGTGCAACTAGTATTACTATTACATAAATATGTGTGAAATAGCTCTAATCCCACGTCAGAAATGGTACATCCCAGATGCTTTTCTAGTACATGTGAATTTTTCACAGATGCTGGCTGTGAACTGCATAAGTAAACTATTCCAAATGTGTTTGAGATTAAGTTAAACAGTTGTGAATTGCAAGTGCTGAAACCAAAAGGAAGTGGAAAACCACTTCTTCTGCCTCCAAATTCCTGATACCCTAAGTCCTCAGCTCGGGACTCTGCTTTGGAAGTGTCCTTGGGACTTGTGGGCCAGGTGTTACCCTTCTGTCTCAACAGACTCCTCAGAGCCAGAGCGAAAACGCCACAAATCAGTTTCTGAAGCATCCGAGGACAAAAAAGACCAGGAGTCTGATGAGGAAGAGGAAGAAGAGGAAGAGGATGAGCCCTTGGGAGCCACCACAAGATCCACCACCAGATCGGAGGCTCAGAGGTAATGGGGGCAGCCCAGGGACACCATCAGCAGCTGCTCTGCCTGGAAATGGCTCCAGAAACAGCTCTGGGTGTCTAGGGACTCTCTGGAAACCATTTCCTTCCATTTTATCTTCTTAGTTTATCATCTCTTCAAGAACCCATTTTCTGGCTGAAGCTATTGTGGGAACGCTTTCAGATTCACCTTTGCCAGGTGTGAGTGCTTGTTTGAGAGAATCTGCCAGTTCTGTGTCAGCCAGCTTATGCACATCGACTGTCTCAGATCTTGTGCTGAATGTCATGAAGGAGCACAGAGACACAGAAAACCACACACATGCACACATCACTGTCACCACATGTGCTGACCCTAAGGAACTGCCCAGATTTGAGTATATAAGTGATAACCCTATGTGTTCCTCCAAAGTGTGTTCTCTCAAACCCTAATAGAGAGGTACAATTCTTTGGGGAGAAAACTGAGTCTCATAATCCAATGAGTTTGAGGAAGCCAGTGAATTTTCTCTGCTTCTTCTAGGTTAGCAGTGTAGGTTGAAATGTTTGGGGTTTGGCAGGGTCCTAAAGGAAGGAAAGCTGGTGTAACATTTGCCCACAAGACTCTTCCCCAAGCCCTGCCCATGTCACTATGCTTGCTGACACCAGCCAGTGCCCTTTCCCCAACACACACATTTAAGTACTGTGCAACTGCCATATAGCCCCATCCTAATGGTCACTAGCTTTCAGAGAAGACTGTTTTCCATTTTTAGTCTCACTCACAAGCTGTTAATCTTCACATAATCTTGTGTAATTTCATTACCCAAAATTACTCAAAAAGTCCTGCAGTGTTTACTTTGAAAGGATTACAGTTAACACCTGACACCATAATATGGTAGTGATAGTGTCTCATATTTACAAAAAGACAATCAACCTGTTTCTAAATCCTCTGAACTTACATATGATTCGCTGTGGCTTGATTTCTTAAAAGAGGCGGATTTTAAAGCCAAAAGACTCAAGGAGCCCACCTGACCAAAGGGTAAAATGGTCTCATGATTGGGTCTGGGTGTTTTTGCTTGGGGGCGGGGCTGAGATAAGTTGAAGTCACTGAGTTAATATCCTGCTGAGAAGAGGGGGTGAGCGTCCAGAACCCGGCACCCAGCACTTGGGTGAAGCACCCCAGAGCCTCTGCTTCTCTCATGCGGTCGTGGAAGATCTTCAGCATAGTGGGCTCAGCGCAGAAAGATTGTCTCTTTCAAAAAGTACCCCAAATCACTAGCAGGCTTACCTTTAAAAATCATAATGGCCAAAATTAATTGTGTATGTGTGTGGAATTGTCTAAGAATGAAAACTAATAATTTTAGAACTAATAGGAGTGTTTGATTTATATACAGATTCTAATCTTTGTGGTTGAGGTTCCTTGAATTAGTAGGGTGGTTCCAGGTTCTGGTAGCTTTCTCATTCCCAGCTCCTCAGGGTCGGATGCACTTGGTGCTCCTCTGGTGCTACTAGCCATCAGTGCCTGGCCACTGCAGCACCAGCTCCCTGAATTGGCCTTTTCCTCTCTCACACACCTCAGGGAACAGCTACTTCCTGGTCTTCTCCTTGTGTGTAACCTCTGCTCTTGGCTCCAGTTCATTCTTGGGACCTCTATAGCTTCCCTTTTGCTATTTTGGGGAGCTCCTGGACCTTCTCTGTTTGAGCTTCCTTACCATCTTCTCACCGTTGCTCTGTTGTTTCTAGCCTCCCTCAGAAACAATGCTCCACCCCAGTGTGGACCCCTGAGTCCAGATGATGACTGTCTTGTGTGATCCTCTGCTGCTTTTCAGTATGCATCCAAATTAGAGTTATTTGAGATTAAATCATACATGATAATACATACTAAATAGATTCTTTTTCCTGTTTCTTACTGGGAAGTTTGATCTTCACTACTGTGATTTCTTTGCTGTATCGCTGACTACTGATGCATCAGCGTGGAGCCCTGTGCTGTGCTTTCAATGACCTCTCAGGCACTTTCTGTGTTTTGATGAGCTCTTTTGCTGTTTTTCACAGTCTTCCTCTTAGTCATGTAAAATAGCATGCCCAGCGTCATGCAGGCAGAGTTAGTCCATGCTCCAGAAAGCCAGCCACTCTGCTCCTCTGCACCTCCATGGCTCTGTCTTGCCCACGAGCACTCTCTTACTCTCCAGTAGTCCAAGGCCTAGAGAATTTAGTGCTGCCATTGCCCAGTGTTTCTATAATCTGTTTCAGAAAGCATCATAGCAAGCCATCCGCACGTGCAGCAGTCAAACTTGGCAACCCAGAAACAGTTTCTCCTAGAAATCACCAAAAGTTAGCAAAAGAGATGTTACCTACCAGCAAAAAAGTTAGTAAATCTCCCCCAGTAGGAAGGTAAGTCCTGCCTCCACTTCCAGTCATGTTTAACTCCTGATATGCTTGGCTCTTGTTCTCCTTAAAGACTTTGGCCTCACCAAGTAGCTGTCTGTAGGGAATCACTGGCTTCTGAGACAAATAGGAAGGACTAAAAATGTGTCTCCCGTGGCTCTGCCACTTGGCCCAGCCACACAGGCTTGTCCCTGACACAGGTGAGCTTTATTGGCAGACTCTCGTCCATCTACCAAAACTGAAGTCGGGCGTGCTTCTTCCCATGTGGTCACATCTGAGTGCTTAATTCAATCTGCGCAGTTTGGTAAAGCATGGAATAGCTTCAAATGAGTTCTGCCTTAGATTGAGGATCGCCGCTGTGGCAAAGCAAAGCTCTCCCTCTCCCTAAAGCTCTCTGCCAGCTCGCACCTTCCACTGTGGCCTGATCCCACTCTCTGCTTCTCAGGCCTCCTTCTTGCTTCTGCTTGGGCTCCAGAGTTAGGCACTCACTGCGGCCTCTGAGCTGGATCCTCCTTGTCTTCGGGCCGCTCTCCCAGGCCCCACCTGCTGCAGCCCACCTCATCTCCCTTGTCGCACCAGTACCCAGTACTGAGCACTTAAGAGTGATGGTGTAGGTAGCCTAATTTTGCTTCTTTCTCTGAGCTGTAAGTTTCTTTGAAGTTGGGAACTTGTCTTGCTCTCTATACCCCATAACATTCATAAATAGAAGACAATTCAGTATATACCAAAACTGTTCTGCACGTTCTTACAATATTTTGGTCTTCATAGCACATCTAGAATAAATGTGTGTACTTTTAACCCTCATTCCTAGAAAGAAAGTACTCTCTCATTTCATCCTTGCTGGGTGAGATGCAGTATTCACCTTATTTTATATGTGAGGCTAAAAATCTTGGGACAGTCATGATGCATGCTTCTCAGAATTGAGTGTGCAGAGAGATCATCTGACTGTGGTTGTTACAGGTGGGTCTGTGAGTCTGCAGTTCTAACAGGCTCCCTGGGTGTAAAGGAAGGGCTTGAACAACCCTCCAAGCTCCCACAGCAGGAGAGAAAACCTGATTCAAGGGATTCTGCTCTCTGCTAACAAGCTCGTGGCACAACGCAGGCTCCTACTACACGTCAGCTCTGCACTAAATAGATGTCCCCGAGTGGCCAGTGGACGCAGTTTGAGATGATTCTGGGCAAGCATCCTTCTTAGCCATTCTCAACATACTTACAGGTAATCTGTAGGAACCATGTCGTCCACAACACTGTTCTACTCAGTTTCCTTTTGCTATCAAAGGAAAAATAAGCAAAAGATGTCTTTGCAGCAGTAAAATTCCATTTTTCTCCGATAATTTTGGTTTTCCAATTCTTTTCATTCATTAATAAGACATTTGCCATTTGTCGGCCATGATATGATGGAGATAGTAGGCCATGGAGGCAGATAGGTGGGTACGGCTCAGCCACTGCCTGGAGGAGCATCTTTTCTAGTGAGAGAAACGAACGTGGAAGACTTTGAGGCTTTGAGAGTACCCCACAGTAAAGGTTTTGCACGATAGCTGGTGCTCACAATCTGGCTACTGTGAACAAGATTTTCATGAGTAAGACTTAATAGGTATGAGAACAGTGGCTTTCCTGTTGCCCTGTGCTTTACAGTATCAGTTGTAGCCTGCAGTTTAAAAGCACAACCGATGAACTAGCTGAAGTCTTAAATTGTCAATGGGTTTCTAAGGGAAAAACAGCTTGCTCTGTGATGTGAAAAACTTCCCAGAGGAGGGATTTTTAACCTAGATTTGAAAAAAAGGAATTTGATCAGGGTGATTTAAAAAAATAGAGCTAGGAATGTGGTTCAGTTGGTAGAATGCTTGCCTGGCATGCAGGAAGCCCTGGGTTCAGTCCCCAGCACTGTATAAGCTGGGTATGGTACCACATGCCTATAATCTCAGCACTCGGGAGGCAAGATCAGAAGCTCAAGGTCATCCACTGCTACACAGGGAGTTCAAGGCCAGCCTAGGCTATGTGAGAGCCCATCTCAATGATTTGCCAAAGCATGCAGGTGGAAGAAGACCCCATTTGTTTGAGAAGGGTGTACTGGGGCAGCAAGGCAGTCCAGTGATGGGAAGTAGAGAGCAGGTTGTGAAGATCCACACTGTGCTCTGGATTGCTTTATCCTGGAAGCTTTGGAGACCCAACAGGACTTTGATAGATCTGAAGATGATGACATGATAAATTGAGGCTTTGAACAAGTAATTCTGCTGGTAGACTGGGGAGCAGGGATCAGTTAGAATGCTCCTGTAAGCCCTGCCACCATTAGCTGTCTTCTCTGATACTGTCCTGCAAAGCATGCTTTGCACTGTTAGACCCTAGGTTGTAGTACTCCTGTTCTTGTTTCAGTTGGAGGTGTGTAGATGTCAGTAGGACTAGCAGTTGACTTCTAGATGGAACTCGGGTCCAGAAAGGAAGCTATCAAGACCAAGGTCGGCACCTGGAGGTGGTAGGTAGGGCTGGGTCAGAACCCAACCAGTGCTCCTCCTCCAGAACCCTGGGCTTGTGCGTGAGGTTGTTGGTAAAGAACTATCAGCTCAAGATGTGTGGGGTTTTTCCTCCTCGGATGTCATATTTTAACGAACTTCCAAATTGTTAGAAGCCACTTCTGTTAACTGTCACCTCTGTTCTGTTGCCTTGACTTTTGCTCAATGCAGATCAAAGGCCCAGCTGTCCCCTTCGATCAAGCGCAAGAGAGAAGTCAGTCCTCCTGGGGCTCGAACTAGAGGCCAGCAGAGAGTGGAGGAAGTCCCTGTGAAGAAGGCAAAGCGGTAATGCTGAGCGCTAGGCCTGGCTTCCTGAAGAGCAGCCCGAGAGGGGACCAGCCTCCCTCGCTCCCTGGGCTGTGTGCTGTTTTTGTTTTTAAACCAAGAAAAGGAGATGCATGTGCTATAAGTTCCTAGGTGCAAGCTTTTTCTTGTTATGTTTTAAACAGCTTTATAAACTATTGTTCATAGAAGATATTATGTACATTTATTTCAGATAAAGGAAGATAAGTTTACTTTGTATCTGAACTCAACAAAGTAGTTGTATATTTTAACAGTCGAAATTGGGATTTCCCAATGTGACATCACTAATGCAATCCTTCCAGCTGGTCAGACACCAGGTTGCCTCCTGGTGATCTGTGTATAGTATATAAACATGTAAAAATAGGTTGTATTTTACTCAATGTATGATGCTAATCAATGAACACTTTATTTATTTTACAGAGAAATCCTATCTGTGAACTTTACTATATATCTGTTTATTTTATTTTATAATTTTTTTTAATAAAAAGAGGGTTTTAAATGCTATGCAGACATCAGTAGAAGAGTTTTTAGGACTCTGCCTGCCCTGCAACTGTCTGTGTGTGACCTGGCAAGAAGCCCAGAACTTCACGCATGTACCCAAGTAGTTTAGCTGAAGAAAGGATCTCCTTTTCTGTTGACAGTCATGACTGTTTTTTAAGAGTGTAATTTGTTTGTAGATTATTCTTGCCTCTGTGACTTTACCACCAGCCTCGTTAACATAAGTGACTCTGGTTCAGGTAAAGCCACACCCTTCACCTGCAGGGCTTTGCCCTTGTTCACACCCCAGCTCCATGCCATTCCCAGGTCTCTGCTGCTGTCTCCGGTGATGATTAGATCACGCCTGTCTGTTCATCTAAAGGATTTTATGTTGTTTTATACACAGTTACTTCAGGACAGAACTGGTTTTATTGCCAGGTTCTTTTTTAAACATGTTTTAACCCCCATAATGAACAAACTGTCCAACTTCAATTTTTCATAGAATTAAAGTTTTAGGTCAGATTTGTTTCTTCGATGATGTGTTGCCAAATGACTAAGATTGTTTTAAAATGCTTTGTTCATACTCTTGTTTTCTAGTTAAAATTGACATTCATTGTGTGGGGTTTTCATTGTTGGTTGTGATGGTTTTTTTTGCCTCCTTTTTTTAATTTGAGTTTTATTTTGTTGTTTTGACTCTTAATGTAAGGTGGATATTCCTGTCATTTTACATTGTTTCTTACTGAGATTTTTTACATAAATTATAAAATGTTTCCCTAAAATTTGAGTGGTAAGATTTTTTTTCCCATGTCTTAAAAGTTGGTTGCCAGGCGTGGTGGTGCAGGCCTTTAGTCCCAGCACTCAGGAGGCAGAGGCAGGCGGATCTCTGTGAGTTCAAGGCCAGCCTGGTCTACATAGTGAGTTCAGGACAGCTGGAGCTACAGGGAGACCCTTTCTCAAAAAGACCAAAGAAAAGTTGGTTAAGGCTAAAAGCCAGCCTGGGTTCCAAGGCTCCTATGCCCTTGAATGACAGTTCTCAGTGGATTAATTCATCAGCAGTGAACCTCTGAAAACACGCTGTGAAGCCAGTGCATGTCAACATGGAGATGCCTGCAAGGGGGCATGGCTGGGGGCTGCGGTGGGCTGGGAGAAGTGCCGCCTCTGAGCAGCAGTTTTCTTCTGGGGTGGTCATCTGCCTTTCAGTGACTCCCAGGGGTTCTGAAGCCCAAGTTGAGAAGAGATAGCGTTCTCAGGGGCTGTTGCAGTTATGGAGGGGTGGTTCCTGGTTGTCAGGGTGATTGGATGCTCCTAGAATGTAGTAAAGTAAAGGACCGTGGATTGTGAGACATCCTAGTTCCCATGGTGGTCCCCAGTGATGTCCTCCCACTAGTCACTAAGCACGGACGTCTGCAAGTGTGTTGTTTTCCTGGGCTTCACATTACCACCACCTCTCACAGTGAGCAGCCAGAACCCCCGTCCATCGCTTTCCCATCACAGCTGCACATCAAAGGTAGTCTGAACAGAGGATGCCTGTTTTCCCCTCCAGTGTGGTAATACACCAGAGGCTCTCCTGTGCTTCAGGCCTCTTTCCTCACACCACTTGGTTCCCACCACCCAGACTTCCTAAACACTAGACCAAGGAGGAATGGTGAGCACTGTCCAAGTGAGTTGGTATACACTGGAGACAACACGCGTCTCCATCCCCCAGGCCAGAGGGTTGTTTCTTCTGCCTGTGGGAAGGAGGCACTGAGCTTTCTGTCCACAGATGCTCCCTGCCGGCAGGTCCAGCATCTCCCAACTGACTTGAAATCTGTGGCAAGGCACTAAGAAAGTTTTGCTTTTTTATCTTTGTTTTGACTTGTACTTTTTAAAAATTATTGTTCACCATAATGCAAGCATACCTTACATTTTCTAAAAACCACCACTTAACCATCTTTATGTGATTAAGCCTAAAACAAGTTTTCATATTATACTGACAGAGACACTTTCTCAGAGGAAAAATATTTTACAGCCAGCATTTTTCCACTGCTGATCAGGGAAAATGCACATTTGCTGAGCTCCTACCCTGACCCCACACCAGGGATGCACCATGAACCCAAGGCTCAAGGCTGGACAGTGACAAGATGCAGACACCTGCTGCGCAGACACACACCTGGTGGCAGAACTTTACAAGAAGGAGAAAGCCCCTTTTCTGAGAGAAATGGAAAACTAACTCCAGCCATACTGGATGGTTTCGGTTTTGTTAAGTATAAAACGGGGTTTCAAGCAAAGTTGGAAACCAGAAAAAATAACATTTTGGAAGTTGAGGAACAGGAAAGACAGGAGACAGTAAGTGCCATTGACCACCAACTTTTCAGAAACTTGGTGAGGAGACGTGCAGAAAATGATGCCTGCATAGCTGTGTTACATAACCACTAGTTCCAAGATATGCTCTTTTCACACTACCTCCACGTGGGAGGTCAGTGAGCTCATTAACATAACCTTAAGAAATCATGGGAGGGATGAGAGAGACAGCTTAGGGGTTAAGAGCACTGGCTGGTATTGCAGAGGAGCCAAGGTTGGGTCCCAGCACCCACATGGCTGCTAACAACTGTTCATAACTCCTGATCCAGGGACTCTGATGCTATCTTCTGGGCTCTGGCCAGCATTGCACTACATGGGTGCATTTACATATATGCAGGCAAAACACTCATACACACATAATAAATAAAATTTTTTAAAGAATATATATTACATATTCAAAGCCATTCACCTGTTAGTGATCTTCAGGTTGTCTCACAGTTACATGATGAATATTTTATAAACCTTTTTTTTGTGAACTTTCTTCAAGGAAAGCTTTCCAAATTTACTGATGTCATTAGACACCTAAGATATAATATCTGTAGATACATTGGGGACAACCTTGGTTGTGACTGATCAGTTTTACTGAAGCATAATTGGCAAAAAAAAAAAAAAAAACTATAAGGCATACAATAAGATGATTTGGTATTATGCATTCATTGTGAAATGACTACAGTCAATGCATCCATTGCCTCATAGTCATATAGTTAGTATTGTATGTATGTGTCTAGGTGTGTTTGTGTGTGGGTGTTTCTGCTCCAGGGTACAACTACCAATTTCTAGGGTAAGCATATTCTTAGGTTTGCAAGATTGTTTAACAAATGCTTGTACCAGTTTGTACCACACCAACCTTGTTTAATAATTCTTTATATTAAGTAATATAGGACTTATTGATTTTCCTGTCTAGGGGGTATGAAATAATTTCATACTATATTTTTATTGATTACAAAAAAGTTGAACATCTTTTCAACTTTTTTGTATGTTCATTTTCCAAACGTATTCCCTTTTCAATGAAATGCCTATTGATGGCTTTTGTTCATTTTCCCACTTGGTTATTTGTGCTTTTCTCTTGGAATCTCTTTATAAGATTTCTTCATATATTTTTTCTGTAAAATATGTTCATATCCTGCTACACTCCAAATAATAAGCTTTGTGTGCATTGGAAATACACCTCCAAAATGCAGATATGGGTACGTATGCGCACATATGCACACACACACACACACAGACACACAATATGTAGCTTATATTCTCATTTTCTATATCATCCTTTCAGTAAACAGCTTTTTAATGTAATTATATAGATTTAACTTCATGCTTAGCTCTTGTGTATTAAGGCTCAAGATCAAATAGATATTCTTCTACAAGTTCAAATGTTTTGCTCACACTTAGGACACAGAAATGAAAGAAAAGAGCTTTATTGGTGAGTGACTCTAGCAGATCAAGCACACAAAAAACTCCCTAGCATATCTGGATTTTCAGAGGGCCCAAAGCAAGAACACTTCTTACTGGAAATAAATCTTAACTTTTTCTTAACTATCAGAATTCCTTTCATCCTGGGCTCTCCTCTCATGAGTTGTGGAAACAGCCTTCTTTTTGCTCCTCTCTGGGGTCTCCTGTATCCTACATTGTCCCCTCTTTACTGTTTCACACACCCACACGCTGCCCCGTCTTCGGAGGAAACATCACTAGATTCTGAGATGAAGTCTATGCAATTCATGAAAATTTAGTTGTCCAGTCAGGGTCATAAGAATCAGAGATCGTCCCCCACATCAGGCTTTACTGATAATTTCAAGGGATAGTGAAGAATATAAGTCACAAGCTGGGCGTGGTGGCACACTCCTTTAATACCAGCACTCGGGAGGCAGAGGCAGGCAGATCTTTGTGAGTTTGAGGCCAGCCTGGTCTACATAGCGAGTTCCAGGACAGCTGGGGTTACAAGGAGACCCTGTCTCAAAAAGACAAAAAAAAAAAAAAGGTAAGTCACAACGGAAGCATATACTTCCACCAACTTGGTGCCCGGCCTTTTCTCATCAGGACACACCTATGCAGGGGTCAACATAGGAGGTCTCCAAAAGCATAATCGGGGCCACTGCTTACACAGAAAAAACCTGTACTAGTTACGTTTGTGGCACTGTGTCTAAAACATGACAGAAACAGTTCAGTGGAGGAAAGGCTTGTGGTAGCTCACGTTACAGAGTCAATCATGACAAGGAATGCAGGATGAAGTTGCTCCACATGTGGAGGCGAAAGCATGTGGTGCAGCGTTTTCACATGTCAGTGGACCAGGAAATAGAAAGGAGGGTGAGAAGGCCAGGCATGATGCTCAAAGGCCCAGCCCTAGTCTACAAGTTCCAGAGCCTCCCAGCTTGGGAACAGAAATTCAGAATATGAGCCTGCAAGGAAGATTCCAGATTCAGCATGCCATGGAGCATCTGCTTAGGTAGTCACAAAGCCTGTCACATTTTCCATGGAGCCATCTTTTATGCATCAATGCAGTCTAGGGTATTTGTGTATGTTTATTTTTCTGTGTCCATGACAATCCTGGAGAGACCAGGTATACTATGTAAAAAGCATTTCACGAACGCCAACTGTCCTACCAGTCAATACTACGGCTTTTCTGGAGGCCTGTCATTAGCAACAAGAACTTGGTATTGCAGTCATCTGCATTTCCCTGGGCCACCCTTGGTGTCAGAAAATACCTGACTGCAACCATGTTCTCAGCAGGTTATAGAAAATGAAAATAATATTTGGGCCTTGTTTCAATCACGTTCTAACTTGTTATTAAAACTTTAAGTAGTTATTTTGTGTATATTTTTATTGAGTTTTTGTGCATCTCATACAAAACATCTTAATCATCTTTTAACCTCCCCCATCCACACCCTTTCATAGCCCCCCACCGGATTTCATGCATTCTGTCATATATGTTAAGGCCTACCCAATCGGGTTAGTGCGCCCAGATGTCTTTCAGTGCAAGTTCATCCACTGGGGTCTAGTCAGCCTATCTAGAGTCTCTCCTTTAAAAAAGATCAACTCCCCCTCACCCAGAAGTGATCAGTTGCCAATAAATCTGTTAAGACTGGGGCCTGCCGTTTGTTACCCAGTTACTATGTTGGGTTTTTGTCTGATTGAGTTTACATGGGTCTTGTGCATGCTGACACCATTGCTGCAGGTTCATATGAATAAGGTCCCAGGAGCCTATCTGTTTCCTTATGCTCCTCCACCTACCTCCCTCTTTGCTTCTTACAGTCTTTCTGCTCCCTCTTCCGTAAGGGTCCCTGAGCCCTGGGTGAGTGAATATTTTAATTAATAATTTTATATTTGGAATTAATAGCTATTAGATAACTTGAACTTAATGGGTTAAAAAGAAAAGAGAACATGAATTCAGGAGGGAGGTGTACTGGAGGCTGAAGTTGAAGAGAGAGTGGGGAGTG